TAATTTCGAAACTACTCAACTTATCTTAATGAAATTTATTTTATTTCACGTGATTTTTTTCAACTTAGCAGCACATAGCACAATTTTTATCACGATTTTTATTTTTTTTTTTATTACTTTTTATTACTAATTTAAAGATTTTTATTTAAAGGTTATCTAGGTTCTGTAAGGACCTTTCAATAGATGGCACTGTATTACAATTCAATTGTTTCGATATATTTACGTCTCGAAGCTTGGTTTTCTTTGAAGGTTTCACTTCTATCATGTGTGATTTGCACACATCTGATTTTTAAATAATAGAAGATTCTTACTGTATAGATTATCAAATGAAAATTGAAAGTTAAAGTTATTGGAATAAACTAAATGCATTATAACTGTAATTTGTGGTTAGTATTGGCACGCGTCAGATAGGATACGGGATGGTATTATATATCTCCGTAACGTTAACCACAGATCGAAATGACCATAAACCGGTAATCCAGTTATCGGGTTAGCATTTAATCGAGCATGTTTACTAGCACGTATCAAATTGCTAATTGTAAGAGACACGAACGAAACACGATTAATGGGTTTGTCCAAGCTGCGTTCACAGTCATCTAATCAATGTGTATGCATGTTCCTATGTAATTTAAACTAAACAAGATGGTAAATAAAAAGAAGAAGAAAAAGATGAAGAGGACAAAAAATGTCTAACAATATAAGAGGTGTAACGATACACCTACCGTTAAATTAATTAGAAAAGTATATACATTCGTTTTTATTGAATTTTTAAGATGCTTTAGAGCCACGTGTTTATAAAAATAATAAGTTTTATAAAAAAATAATCGCGATAAAAAGTATCCTATATAAGATCGCTTGAATAGTTTCAGAGTTCATCGCAAACAAACAATATGATAGTGAAGTTCCATGTATAAAGATAGTTGTAAAATAGTGACAAGAAATGATCGTATTCATCATCACCTCGAACGATCGAGTTTGATGAAATGAACATTTTTATCGGGTTCTTCACAACCTCTCGATTCTCGTCCAGTCTCGTTAGTTTAATTAAAAGCTCGTTATCGAACTCGTAACGTCGTTGCACGGTCGCGGGATAACTCGCGTACCACAACTTCTTCTATTCGCGACAGTAAGCACACACCACGATACTATCAACTTCAGCAATTTTTTTTTTATTTCTTTTTTCTTATCATTCGCGATTAAAAATAACAATATTATCTCCGATTCGTCAAAGTGTACTAAATTATTATGGATTACAACGAAAAAATCAATTTGACTGAATTTCAAAGAAATGTACAAATCATTACGTTCAATTCTAAAAGTAAATCATTATTAGGAAATCGAGCTGTGCCAATCAAAAGGAATCCTGGGTTGGTTCCTTTTAAATTTATTTAAAAACAAAATGCTTATTTATCAAATTCACTCTATTTTAAATCAATCTTATTTTTAAAAATTGTACAAAAAATATTATATTTAATTCGATACAAATATGCACGTGTAAAAAGTTTCATCTAAATATTGGTTTTCTTCTAAGAATATAAAAATATTTCACGATCCACTTGGAATTTTGTCAAGATATCGTTTTTCTCATATGCAAAAATGATTATTATGTTTATTCGACTAATAATAATTCAAAACTGAGATTACAATTAACAACAACAACAATAATAATAATAATAATAATAAATTAATGATAACAATGACAGTGATTAATAACCAAAGATGATCATAACAATATGCGATAAATTATAATCTTAAAAAAAAAAAAGTCGAGAAAAGTTAAAGTGTAAAAGAGTAGAAAAAAACAAATTATTTAAAAATAACAGGAGAATTTGTTGATATTTCAAAGATGTAAGTACACAAATCGTTATCTCAAATGTTCGCTTTTTTTTTTTTTTCTTAGCCTAGGATATATCATTTTTGTATGTAGAATCAGCGATTTTTACGGAGTATGCCAAGTACGATTGCCGATAACGAGATGACAAGAAGACGATAAGACATGATTTCTCAGTCAGTCAAAAGTAACGTATGAGACGTCACGTTTTCATTTCGAACGAGTTTAACATTTAACGAAACGAAATATCATTTTTTGTTCTTTTTGTTCTTTATTTATATTTTTTTTTCCACTTTATTGTTTTCTTTCGAAGTTTATTTTATATTATTCGCGAGTGAGTTAAAAAGAATAAAAAAAGAAAAGTTTTAATCTTACGATTAAACGTAAGCTTGAATTTGTGGTAATTCAACTTGGGATAGGAGAAAAGCTTTTTAGAATTTTATATTCTAAATAATTTACATATTCTTGTAAGAAAATGATTTTTATAATTGTGTTTATTTATAAATTATTGGGTACATATTTAAATTAGGAAAGAAATGATTTGAAAATAGTTGAAATAATAATCTTATTGTTAGAAACAAATCAATATAAACGATCGAACGCAATAATTTCAAACGATTTGTACGCAGATATCATTTAAATACGATTAAATACTCAAATGAGCGATTGAAATGCGAATTAATTAGCATCAATGATCTCTTCTCTCTCTCTCTTTCTATTTTATAAATCTATCAATCTATTTATCTCTCTTTTTTTCTCTCTCCCATCTTTATCTTTATTATTCAATGCAACTTTTGCAAACGATGCAAATTATTCAAATGAAATAATCGAGTTGTTGTAGATAAAAAAGAAAACATTAAATAATAAAACAAAAAATAAGAAAATTCAGGATAAATTGAACGAAAAGGGAATTCGTTTGAAAATAAAAAAAAAAATAAAATAAAAAAGTAAGAAAATAAAAAAAAACGGGACTTGTGGTCGTTTTAAAGTGACGTAAGCATATGATCAGTTTTTTTTTTTTTTTTCAAATGAAAAGAGCAAAGCCGTAGTGTTTAGTGACCGATAAGTGGAAGAACGAGACGGTCAAGCATGATGTATGTGTATACAATATGTGTATGTATATATACAAGTATATACATACATAGATATAAAACGTCTTGCGTCGATATTCCATGCATCAGTAGATGTTTCACTAGCTTCATACTCGGTACCTGTTCGTGTTTTTAATCCATATTGTTTTTCTTCGTCGCGAGTTTCATTATTATTATTATTATTATTATTATGTTGTCAAACGACATTTTTTTTCCCAAAAACATCAAAAATTTTGTTGTAATACAATTTTTTTAATAATCAATTTTATTCAATATTTAATTTAAATCATGAGAATCGTAAGAAAAAACTTAGTGCGTTGATAAATTTACATAAAAAAAGAGAGATGGGGGAAAGAAGATAAATAATTACGATCGGAAAAACGACATGAGATAGGACAAAAATCGGTGATACTAAAAGAAAAGATCGTAATTGAAAAAAAAATAGTGACGATTCTCGGTTATCAAATCATTTCGGATTCAAGGAGAACACCGACTGGAATAGAAACTAAAAATATATAATACTGATAACCCATTTATGTAGATTTAACTTAGTTTTTATTTTTTTATTTAAAAAAAAAACAAAAGATTACAATTAATCAATTATAATATAATTATATAATATATATTATTATATTATATTATATTATTATTATTATAATTATTTTAGCTACGAATTAAGAGAAAATTTTGTTTTATATGCGATCAGTGGGAAAAAATTAAAAAAAAAAAAAACAATGAATTATAGTCGTTCGTGAATAAAAAAAAGGAAAAAAAAGAAATTGAACAATGAAAAATTGTGTAGAAGAAAAATCAGAGAAGATGAATGGATCGAGTACGAAGAATCCTAATACAAACGAAGATAAAAATACGTCAACGGAATACGGAGACGATCAGAAGCTTTTACCACCTGTTTCACCTACCCCGGTAATCGTCATATCCAAGAGTCCCAGCCTGTCCTTCAGAAGCAGGTATAATTTAAATAATGAGAACAAACAAAAAATATAATATAACACAGAAAAATTATATCGAGGAACGATTGATCGATCGGCCGGTGTGTGAATTTTATTTATGTTTTTATCTGTAAAAACTAAATCATATATCTCGAATATATTTGCTTGTGTGATTTGCTATTAATTTTCTTTTTTATCATTTTTATTTTTTTTTCTATTTATCATATATAAATAATTCCTTTTCGATAATAAAATTTTGTAACATATTTGATTGAATAACCTTTAAAATTGGCATTATCACTTTTTAAAGAGGTAAAGATGATAAGATATTTATTCGATTAAATTTTCTCACAATTTCTGCGTTTTCAACTATTCTTATTAAAAAGCGACACACATGTGATAAGAAACGATGATCTCGTGTTTCAATGACAAATTTATCGTATAAGAATAGATAAAGGTAACATTGAAAAGATACCGATTCACGTAATATCTTTTCTGCTGGTAATAAGAATAAAAGAAGACTTTCAGTGCAAAGGGTCAATTATTGGATGTTACAAATAGAATGAAAAAATAATACAGGTAGAGACATAAGGACTGTTTTCCCCTCTTATAATAGATAATATATATTTTCATATTTTTTTTCTTTCTCCTTTTTTTTCTCTCTCTCTCTCTCATTCGGTCTTCGCGTGTACGACTTTATATCCCGGACATGCATCACGATATACGCTGATTAAGTCAATGAAATAATTCTCATAATCGTATCACGTGCGGTTACAGGCTTAAAAAGTAATCTAACATAAGAGAGTGGAAGAAGGTGGCGGTTAAAGAGAAGAGGGAGGGGGATGAGGGGGTCAAGATTCTCTTGGAGGAAAGAAATTCGGTTGTAGTCATTTGACTAATTTCCTAATAACTAAAAGAAAAAAAGAAAGAAAGGAAATAATAGTAAGAGAAAGAGGAAGAAGAAGGGTGAGAGAGAGAAAAAGAAAAGAAGGAAAAAATATTTTGTTATAATGTTTAAAAAAAGAAAGGGGTAAAAGAGGAAGAGGAAGTTAAAATAGAAGAGAATCGGTTAGAGTAGTTTTGGTGGCTGACATGAGTTCAGTTCAGTTCAGTTCAGTTCAGTTTAGTTAAGTTGAGTTGAGTTGAGTTGAGTTGAGTTGAGTTCAGTTCAGTGATGGTGAGTTTTAGTGTCGTCGACTCTCGGCGTCGGCTGATTTACGCGTGGCAATAAATAAATTGGTAGATAACGGTTACTCGGTTATCGTTCAAAGTCAAAATGGCGACTTCCTTTTTGTCCGTCGTACGAAAGGGAGAACTGGGCCCGAGTAAAATCTCTTTCTCTCTCGGGTTGGATCATTGTGCTCTCCGCGAGTTAAACCTACCGTTATAATATTCACCATACTGTTGTGACAATCATAATCACAGTTTTTTTTTTCATCGTGTGACAATCTAACAATTCATGTGTGTTATTGTTCCATTCTTTCTTTACTCCCATCCCCACCCACACCCCTACTTCCCTATTTACATCTCGTAACAAAAAAGTATCTCCAATGGTAAACAAAAGTTTCATTTTTTTTTTTTGAGTATTCTATGGTATAATTTTGGTGTAATTTTGTTCAAAAAATCGAATGATTTATAGAAAATTCAGTGCTTTTCGAAATTTACCAGTTTAAAGTGCAAGAACGATGACGTACAATGCGAAGAGAATCATCGTAAGTAAAAAAAAAAAAAGAAATAAAAAGAAGTATCATCGTTTCTAAAATTGCTTTTATTCTTCAATTTTTACGAAAAGGAAACTTTTAATTTCTTAAAATATTAAAATAATTCTTCGAGAAAGTATCGAAATAACAGAAGAAAAAAAACATAAGAAAGAAGATAAAGATAAAAGTGTATTTTTCCTTCTTTAAACAAAACAAAAAAAAAAAAGAAAAAAAACTTGACATAAATACGAACATTGAAGACGCGATACGCGGATGATTAACATATTCATAGTAAGAAAAAAAAAAAAATAATAAGATACATTTTAATAGGGAAATAAGACAAAGAGGCGTTTTGTCGCGAATACTTCCGAGTAATTTACGTTCAATGAAATGATCTTTGAGTATAGTGATCGGGTATAATTCAAGTAGAAATTATTACGTCGTTTAACTTATAAAATTAAATGTTTCCAACGTACTTCTAACTTCCGACATTTCAATTTAAACACACTACACACAACTACAACTTATTTATTTATTTATCCTTCTTATTTTTGTTTTAACAAAAAAAAAAAAATAGAAAAAATCGCGTAGACAAAAAGGAGATACACAAAAATCGAAAAATGTGTGTGTGTGTGTGTTTTATGAAAGGAAAAACGATCGTTTATATTCTCGTTTTCATAAAATAAATATAATGATCACTTATGCTGCATTATTTTGCACTAATTAGTCACAATGCAAAAATGATTCATGTTTTGCATACCTACCATATGAAATAGCATTAACTACAAGAATGGATATGAGAGAAGCGATAACAAGATCCTCGAGATTTGTTATTCAAATTTTTAATACTTCCAAGTGTCTGTTGTGCGTGTCACCTCAACAAAAGTCGACCATACTAATTGTACTATGAAAGAGAAAAGAATGGATGAAGAAAAAAAAAGTAAAAAGAAAATCTCAAATAATTTCTAAGCGTATCCTATATTAGAATGTTATCCATTTTGTTTCGATGCTTTAAGGTAATTTCAAAATGAACCGTGGACAATGAAAACGATTAAAAAATTAAAATGCGCGATCTAATACGTAAGAGAAAGACAAGTTTGTAATATAAAAAGTTGCAACGCAATTCGTTTATATATTTCTCATGTTGACATTAAAACAAGAACACATAAGGAATGATGCAAGACAATTTGATTTATGACGAATAATAATAGTGAAATTATTGAAACGCAGTAGATTAAATCGATGTCTGCACGACATTAATCTAAGTGGATCTATTTAAAAGCTTCCTTTGTATATAATAGTTACATATATTAGTTAGTTTTAGTTTTCTTTTTTTTTTCTATTAAAACGAAACGATTGATGTTTCAGGAGCCGATACAGGGCAGGACAAACAAGGAAGTTACGCCGTCGAGCGGTATTAAAAAACGGTGATTGCAATGTATTGCAATCGCGAATATCTCGAAGGTCGTTGCGTTTTCTCCAGGATATTTTCACTACCCTAGTAGATACGCAATGGCGATGGACGTTGCTCTGTTTCGCATTGAGTTTTCTCCTATCTTGGTTGGGTTTCGCAGTGATATGGTGGTTGATAGCATTCACTCACGGTGATTTCGAGGAACGTCATTTACCACCATTTCAAGTTGATAACAATTGGACACCGTGCATCTATAATATATTTTCATTCACCAGTTGTTTCTTATTTAGCATAGAAACGCAACATACGATCGGTTATGGTAGCCGATCAACGACCGAAGAATGTCCAGAAGCAATTTTCGTGATGTGTGTACAAAGCGTAGCGGGTGTTATGATACAAGCATTTATGGTTGGTATCGTATTTGCTAAAATGAGTAGACCAAAACAGAGAACGCAAACCCTATTGTTTTCAAAAAACGCTGTTATTTGTCAACGTGACGGGGAACTTTGTTTGATGTTTCGCGTTGGTGATATGAGAAAGAGTCATATCATTGGGGCAGCTATTAGAGCCCAAATGATTAGATCCAGGACAACTAAGGAAGGTGAAATTTTATCTCAAAATCAACACGAACTTGCAGTTGGCACCGATGGACAAAACGGCAATCTATTTTTCATCTGGCCAACTACGATCGTTCACAAGATCAACGCCGAATCACCTTTTTACAATCTATCGGCCGAAGACATACTCACGGATAGATTCGAAGTGGTTGTAATACTCGAAGGTACCATAGAATCAACAGGACAAACCACTCAAGCAAGATCCAGTTATTTGCCACAAGAAATACTTTGGGGTCACAGATTCGAACCTATGGTTATGTATTCGAAAGAAAGACAGGGTTACGAAGTCGATTATTCTCTTTTCGATAGCACCACCCAAGTCGATACTCCATTATGTTCTGGTAGAGAACTCGCTGAATTTTACAGGGTTCAGGATGAAATTCGTCAAGGGAATAGTAAGTATTCTATTTTTTTTTTTTATTTTTTCTTTGCTTCACATTTCAAAATAAATAGATAGATAGATAATTAGATAATTTGATAATTGAATAAACAATCGTATATTTAAACATTTCCCTATGACCGATAAGCTTGCTTTTTTTTTTAATATCACGCCAAAAGTAGGATAAAATTGGATTTATGCTTTGCACTTGAGCTTTTTTCACAAACTAACCTTAAAAAAAAACAAAATGATCGCTTGCTAGCATGAACAACAACACGCTTTCATTTTAGTTGTTTCTTAAACGCACAAGTTTGTTGAACCTCGTTGTGTGTCCTCGTCTGATTCTACTGGTGCTGGATCTCTATCGTAGATGGAAGCCTGAGGAAAATTCCTAGCGAGCCGAAATCAGCTCCGGTGATACTGAACGCGCTTAATCAAAACGAAGGCACGGGATTCCTTGTTGCTCAAGGACCCTCGTCGCAAGGACACTCGCCGAAGCTTCACATTGACATTCCATCGATCGACGATTGCCCAGGATTATGAGAATTTTTGCCGATACGCTAAATCAATCATCCCCCCAACTTCTTCTCGGCGGAAGAAACACCGTAAATGAAAAAAAAAAAGACAAAAATAACACATGAGAAGTAGAGGAAATAAAACGCAAGTTAAAACGCGAATTTCCTCCTCCTTTCCGCATTGTCTTTTCAACACAATACAAAAAGTAATGAAACACTTGCGGGTAGTCCTTGCGGAATATTAACATTTGTGGGGAGTTTGAAATCGAATAGTATCCGTCCTTTGTCGCGCGTTCATCTGTTTTCTTTGTCCATGTCTTCTTTTTTCTCTTTTCTTTTTTTTCTTTTCCTTCATCACCTTTTCTTTGTTTATTCCTCTATTCGTTTAATCTATTAATCCTAATCATTTATCAACATTCCATCCGTTAAAGGATCTTCCAAAAATTAAATCAAAATCATAAAACAAAAATCCTAAAAAAAAACATATCCTTATATCGTGGATTATTTAACCAATAATATTATTTCACTAACGTCATTAAACATCTATCAAATCCCACATTAAAATAACTAATATAACATGGAAATGGTAGAATGGTTCGAGAAGGTACGATCATATTTATCAATTTATCATCATCATCATCGGTCATAGTCGAATATTTGACGAATCAAAGTTTAAATGTTAAATCAATACGATTTTACTAACACGTGACCGTTGTTTATGTTAAAAATCTAATTTTCGCGATGAAACATTGTAAACGTTTCCCCAGTGTAGTTGAAGATTAACGTTTATCTTAATATTATTTAAACAAACAAATATATGCACATATATATATATTGTAGCGATCTAGTCATGATTTTGTTTAAGCTTTAGGTGAAATTTCAGGTGTAATAATAGATGAGGATCAATTGGACTTTAATCAGGACGTACAAAGCCATTGTTATTGCGGACTACGTTCGTCGACAACAACGAATAATTATCGTCATCATAATAATAATCATCATCATAATCATAATAATCATCATAATTATCATCATAATAATCATCATAATAATTATCATAATAATTATCGTCATTTAACGTACGTCGATAGCGCAAGAAGCGAGAACAGTTTAGAAGATATACAACCGCTTGGTAAAAGTGCTTGCAAGGATCTTCATTGTATCGGTGGGCATGGTCCTTCGATGTTAACAAATCGTGAAATGGGTCAATCAAAGTTGACCGATGCCGAATTGGATGGCATACAAGTGATGGGTGACATTGAATTTAGACATTTACCGGAAGCGGTTAACAGAGAAATCATAAAGAACAGTCGTGAGATTGTTTTCGATGAACAAGAAGTTCGTGATAGTGATAATTATAAGGATGAACATCATGGAAGATTGAATCAATTTGGTTCGAAGAAAAGTTTCATAAAGTATCATCCTCTACTTGACGAGGAAAGAAGATCGTTGAATGGTTCTGGAAGGAATCTCAATAATCGAAATTTTTCAATGGGATGTGAAGAAGGTAGAAGATCATTGAACGGTTCTAGAAGAAATTTAAATGGATCCAAAAGATTTTTATTATTAGCTGTCGATCGTTCTAATAGCAATAGAAATTTGAATAATATTACTAACGGTGACAATTTAATCATTGCCAGACGTCACACAGGTAGCAGGGAACATTTAGATGGTATCAAAAGAAAAATTGTTTCAGGTATGAAAGAATCCAAAGAGATACACGATATTCATGAAACTAAACGTCGTGTTAATAACGCTGACATAGAAGTACACAGCAAAATTAGTATAGAAACGGAGAAAACACCTAACAAAGGTAAAATCGAACTTCGTGAAATTTTGACGAATGCCGATGAAGGACAAGATTTTTCCGTTAGATCATCGATAGGTTTACAATCACCTGTCTCAGATCTTTCACCGGAATCTGGATTTTTCGAAGGAAATCAATCGAGTCCTGAAACTAGTCGAAGATTTATTCGAGTTCCTAGTATTTCGACTAGAAATCGAAGAAGTTACGAGAACGCACAATTGCAGGACGTTAATCAAGCACTATCCAAACGAAATAGTGTTAGCAGTTCGTCCGATAGTGATGGACAACAAAGTAAAACTTTAATTGCCGATGTTGAACTAATGGCAAATGGTAAACAACAAAACGCTACTAATTCGAAACAAACGATCTCTTATACAAGCGTTTGAACATTTAAGTGCCTTTTTTTTTCAATAAAAAACAAACACTTTTAAACCTTGTCACTATTCTCGTTTGTACTATTACTATTTCTCTATTATTTCTATATAATATTAAAATAATATTATTACGATGGAGAAATATATTATATGGGAATACAATTTTCGCTTTTGACCGCAGGACGGTCTTATTTTTAGCTAAATAAATTTGAATTGTTCAAAATACAATTCATTTAACGAATAGTATTGAATGCAATGCTATTGTGTTTTATCGTGATATTTTATTTCTAATGAATTCATTGGATTAGAGCTTCGCCGTATATATATATGTATAAATCTAAATACCTATCTTTCTTATGGTATAATAATTTATAAATATATATATATCCATTTATCGGTCTCTTACGTTAATTAGATAAAAACGATACAACGTGTTTCCCGTTTAAGTTATCAAATTTCCCAAAGCTTATTCTTATTATCTTCTCGTTAATCTTTAAATAATATAATTTAGAGATTGATTTTCCCTAAGCAAACTGCGATTCTTATCACGATATTTACGAATAATTTTAGGTTTTTGTAAGTACGATAGATGAATCAATTAAATAAATAAATAAACAACAAGAGAATAAACACAACTACGACAAGAAAATACGAGCCAAGAAAGACAAAAAAAAAACGATGTAATAGAAAAAAAAAGTGACGAATCTTTCTTTTGTTCTCTTTTTTTTAGTCTTAATAATTAATCTTTTTTTTTTTTTGCTGAATATTTATTAATTCCCGAAGTTTAGTACATCAAATAATAGATGCGATTATATATTAGGTCGAGTCATAAATAACTTCCGTTTTTTATGAAACAAAGAAGAGCGTTTCTGCGATTGATAAGTACAAGACACCTTTCATGGAGTTTTTTTTGCACTATTTGCAATTGTTGAACGTATCTATTGGATTTTGCTCCAATATTACCTTTAAAAGGTTCGTCAAAGTCGAAAATACGTCCTGCACTCGGTTCATCATTTAAGATCGTATCTCCAGAACGGACTTTTACAAACCAATTTCTGACTGCCCTGATCCCTGCTGATCAGTTATCAGTCCTGCACTGTATACGCTGCATATTTTTTCAGTTGCCACCTTAGTGCTATTGCCTTGTTTAAATTCTTAAAGCATTACATATCAAATATGTGCTTTTTACTATCCATTTCAGTGATTAAGAAAAAAGGTTAAATGTAACATTGACTACATAAAAAATTTGGCAGAAGACTAATTGAATCCTTATCTACATAGTGATATCGAAAATACGTTTGTTTGGTGATTAATAATAAGTAAATACGAAAAATAGATTCTACATAGCTGCATCGGAAGTTACTTATGACTCGCCCTAATATATATATATATATATATATATGAAGCATTTTTTAATTAATGACTACGTATTATTATCTCCAATAAGTACATACTTCTACGTAAGTGTTTAGTATCATTCCTTTATCAACGAATCGCAGGACGAATATATAGGATCATTAAAAAAAATAGACAAATTGTGCAGATAGTGTACTAGGGCAAAAAACAACAAAAAATAAAAAAACAAATCAAGTGTCTTCCTTTGGAATATAGAAATATGATAATGTCGTATAAGCGCATAATTATCTGTGCCTGCCATCGTGATTACTCCGAAATCATTTCAAAGAAAAATATTTGTAATAAAGATGAAATCAAACATAATCGATCTTGTTTTTATTTATATATTACATATATATACGTATATACATATAACAGTAATCATTTGTTAGTAAAGTCTCATGTAAAAAGAGAAAGAAAAACTAAAAAAAAAATAAAGACCAAACGGAATGCATGCAACAACTAGATGAACATCCAAACACCTGTATCAATATTATTACAAACAATATTAAAAAGATAACTCATTGTCATATATATATATACACATGTGAACAAAAATAACCACGAAAATATATTACTAAAAAGAATTGAAATATTATTATTAAAAAAATCGAGAGAATGTATTTGAAAGTTTTACACGAACGAGTGAAGTTAAGAGTTTTAAACGAATTCGCGTACATATCGTAAAACAAACGACAAAAATAAAACAACAAAATATAATATATATGTATTATTATTATTTGTTAGCATATATTCGAGGTTATATGTAATATTGTATTTTAAAATAATACTTTAATCCTCTTCCAAAACTTACTCGATTTAAATACAGCAAATTTATTGCGACATGCTGACTTGGCGAACGATGCAAATAACTCAAAGACAATTCACGACGACAGCGCAGTACTAAAACGAACAGTTAAGAGCATGATCGATATTAAAGGTAAGTAGTGCATAATAACTTGCCTGCCAGCTGTTTAACGATTAAATGAATAAATTCATTTACATATTTAAAGTACAAAATAGGATTGAAAAATATATAAGTAATATCAAAATGATTTTCTATTGGAGATTATTAAAAAAGTTTCTTTATACTTTAGTATAATTATAATATTTAATTAATGAAATTTCGATCACCTATTTTTCGAATAATTATTAACAGAATCAAAGAAGGAAGATGAAGAACTACTCTTACCAGATGTTGCTACTAAGAAATTCAATAAATTTTCCGAATTTAACATCGAGACTGTTATCATGAAAGGGGTTGTTAAACAATTGGAAAAGTGGCCTTCTTATCTATTCTTTGTCTTTTTTATCGGTTGCATTGTAATTGTGAATCTTGTTTTATTAATTATTGCAACTGTTACTTTTTCATTACCTACGAATAACACGAACATTAATAATAATCGGTACGTTGAAAAATGAAAATATTTCACTTGGAGGAGAATTTGTATAAGTTATAATATTTGTTGTTTACAGAGATGATATTATTAATGGTAAATCGATTAACGTATATTCGATTAAAGAAGAAAATCGTATTTGGTCTATGATAGATTTTTGCTACATTGAAAGTGCAGCACGTGAGAATCCAGAGTTAAATGTATTTTAATCATATTAGAAACGTATATTAATTGAACAACTAATTAAAAATAATAAATTTTTCTTAGATCAATCTAATTAACATATACAAAGAAATACCTAAGGAAGATATTAAAGAAAACGTTTTAATAAGAACAAAATTCGAGCCTGAAATTAGTAGAATTACAAATGCTATTGATTTACGAAACAAAGAAAGCAAATCTTTAAGAATAATATTAGAAACTCGTTTAAGAGATCAACTTGCTCGTAAATATGAAAACGTTAATACTCAAAATATCATCGTCGACAATTTCTTTGAAGGGTAAGATCGATCAATGTCGTCATATTTTTACCATTATTTAATTTCTCTCTTTACATGTTATCCCATCATGTGATCCATCATCTTTCAGTACAAACCTTTCTAAAGTTGTTGGAAATTTAAATAATAAAATATTAAAATTAGCCACCGAAGCGTATTTCATTTGGAATTCATCTGGAATTGCTATTAATCCGAAATTATATTGCAATTTGAAATATATTTCACAGGTTATGTGCAAGTAAGTAAAAGTTGTATTAAAACCTGACGATCGATAAGGATTAATAATATCATAAATAAAAAAAAAACATAAAAAAAAATAAAATTATAATCGTTTATATTCTTTTGTAAAGAAAAGAAAATGAAAAATGTGTATTGGATGCATTGGCAACTATTGATCCTAAAAATGATATTCAAGCTGCTGGAGTACCTTGTCAAATATTCCTAGGATATTTTATAAATGAAATATCGAAAAACGATTCGATTCGTAAAGGAGAGATATTGTTAAAGTCCATAAACAGTTTTTGTCCAAGGTATGAGAAATGTTTCAATCTTACGAAATTATAGAATAATATAGAGAAAACGTTAGTATTTCCATATTTACTGTTTCTTTTTCACAGAACATATTCTTGTAACGAAATTAGAATCTTGAAAGATGTTAAAAGGTGCACATTGAATACCTCGAAGTGTCCAATCGTTTACAATTACATGTTACCTCATTTAAAACAAAAGTATTATAAAGAATATCGTAAATAATTATATTGTTTATAAGATAATTACAAATAAAATAAAATTTAATTTTATTTATATATTTAATGCGTCGAATAAAAAAATATAATGGAGAAAATGATGTTTGTTTCCTTGGTCAATAATTTCCTTTTACTTGTACGTTCTATATTCATAAAGTTGAAGAACACCCAACCACGCCCAGATTTCTCCAGCTGCGTGGGCGAACAAAAAATAATCGTTACATAGGACAAATATTTGTGTGTTTAATTAATTATGACGTAAAAAATAAAAAATAAAACAAATCAGTGAGACAAACATTGAATTAAATTCCTTGTAAAAAAATGTAATAAATATAAATGAAATCGTACCGATCATTAATAAAGTAACAATCGTGTAAATACTAGCCGTTGATAGGTGAAATTTTTGAAAGAATAGATAAATGGCAAGAATAGAATAACTGACATCACATACCAAATCAAGCAGATACAAAACTATCATTGGAAAACTCCATTCTGGATTTTTCTAAAAAAATTGAAATCATCTATCATAAATTATACCAAGGACTGACTTATTTTTTGTCTATCACTTACAGCAATCGAATTATTTAAATGACCTGTTTTACATACTTCACCAGGTATATTCGGAAATTTAAAAAATTGGAAAAAAATGTGTATTTTTGTTCTCACCGAGATAAGAGAATAAAGAAGCATAATAGACGTAACAGTGTAAATGATAACGCGATTAAAGGGATATCCCAAGGTCAATCTGACAAATGTTCCATTTCTTTTTTGATAAGGTGAAGAGCCATAAAGAGTTTCACCGTTTTCCACAATATCATATTCCAAATTACCATTGATAAAACTTTGATAACACATGATCGAAATGATTAAAAGTAAAAAATATGCTTGAATCGTTTGATAAGTTTCATTTTCTTGTTTTATTTCCACTTCATTCGTATCTCTTGTACGTTTGATTCTATCCTCTTGATGAACTATCATCTTTAATAATCTATCACAAACTGTTACTTGATATGCAAGAAATCGACTAATTTATTCATGCGTAAAATTTAGTTTATGTTAAAATTGCAAAGCTTAAAATGTGTTAGTTATTCAAATTCGATTGGAAATCGAATTGGAAAATGTTTAGCGATTGATTATTAACTAAAATTGCTAATTTCAGATTATCATCAATAATTCTAGGCTTTGTCTATTCTCGAATGATTAAACCAAGCATGAAAAATTGATATATACAAAATATAAAATGCAAGTGAATTTTATGTTTATAAAATTATTTTGATATCAATCTTGTCACAACATGATTTATATATTTCTTGAAACGTCAATGTATGCCTTGTAATTGATCGGAAATGCATCGTAGTTTTATAACCTTGAATAACAAAAGATCGGAAGAATTTGATACATATACATATAGTAATTAATATTTCAAGAAAAATGGGGAAACATAGAAAAATAGCGAAAGCTTATCATAAACGTGCTGTTGTATCTTGCGTAGGAGCTCTAATGGAGAAAAATACTAAATCTGTAAGTTAAAATTGTCAACAAAATGATCTCATTATATTAAACAAATGAGCAATCAGAACTAATCGTTTAGTCGTTAACTAATTGTTTAAAATTACCAAGTGCGTACACCAGAGGGCAAAAAATAACAATAATTTAAATGATTTTTTTTTTAACTTAAACTACCATTATCAAAAATTTTCTTTAATTAAACGTGAACCTATCATTCCAATTATTTTTTCTTAAGTTGTAATAATATTTTTGTATAAATATGAGAATGCGAGGAAGACGGAAATATAACGAAAATGATGGACGATTAGTTAGCTATCAATACGTATCCCTAATTCTTATAACCTTAATCAGTGTTAAATGTTAAATAAAACAACTAAATAACAATTTGAAATTTCAGCGTCTTGGTAGAATGGTATGCAACCTGTGCGATCATTATATTATGGGGAACCCATTATACGTCATCATGCTGGGTATTATTGGGACTGTTAGTCCATCATAGTACTTGTTAATTATTAAGTTAATTATAAACGTGTGTGTGTATGTGTGTGTATATACATTTATGTGTGCATATTCGATCTAAGTTATACAATTTGTTATAGATAATTTCATCATTTATATGTATTCATTTTTAATTTGTATTCAGGTGATAACAACATTTGATGTCATACGTACAATGAATTGCAAAGTATCAATCCAATGTTCATCGGGTTCTAAAAAAGAAGATTTGAATGAGTTAAGGAGTAAGTTTCACGAAAGACATTCATTATTTATTTATTTATAAGAAAATTGTAATGTTTTTTTAATTAGCATCCTCGGAGGTAGAAAGAGATTTGAAACTAATGACTTCCATCCTCGGAATAGAGCATTATACATTAATAATGTTAGGTGCCATTACAGTGAGTATAATGTATCAAAGAAATATCATAAAAATATAAAATTTCACTCCAACTAGCATTTTATTAGGAGTACCCGATGCTATACATCCCGTGGCTGCTGATGCAATTATGTGTTATCATCGTTGAGATTATAGTATTTTTTGTTAGACTCTTTTTAGACGGTTTACATGTAAAACGCGACGAGATATTACCAGCAATATTAATGGTACACAACTGGTTGCAAGTATTTTGCCTGTTCCATCGACAAGCACGGAATTCTATCCAATAAAAACAAACGAGATAATATTTCTCAAAAAAAGAAAAACAAAAATCAAACTTTTTGTTCAAAAAGAAAAAAAGTTCATTTACTTAACTTTTGCACGTATTACGTTTGTTTGTTATTTTAAATATTAAAAATGATTTTGTAAACGGAATATTGATGGACAACGCAAACTCATCCTGTTCAAGAATAAAACATAATAAAGAAAATTGAAAAAAAATAAATTATTATAAAACCAACAAATGCTTCAAATTTTTGATTTATCTAATTTTGCAATTTTGTTTGTTTGCAAATTATTTTTGTTGTTTTGTTTTCTTCATACAATCACAGTTAATACATATATTCATACTTATAAATAAATATGCATGGTAAATAGATATGGTGATTAAAAGCAAACGCCCATCAAGACGTCACACGTTTAACCTAATTTACGCAAAATTATAAATCAAAAATAAAGGATAGGAAAAAATCAGTAAACGAAATGAAAATATTACGAGATAAAGTGTTAGTTAAAGGGATATGAATGTGAAAGATAAAAATCTTGTTAATAGCGGATTGTACATCAACGTTCAAGATGACCTTGCGAAGAAACACGTTTCAAAGGTTAAAAAAGTATCATTAATTTAATTAACAATTCAATCAATTTGAAATTAAAATTTCGATTTTCCATTACAGATCGAAACACTTTACGTAATTATAATATGTTTCACGACGAACTTTTTAAGTTTTATCAACGTCGAGGCAGGAACTCGTGCAACACTTGATAATTTAGCACCTAAATCAGCAGCATTCAATGCCCTTTTTAGACGAAATTATAGTAATTATAGTTTATGTTTCAAATAAATTGACCATCTTGTTGATTATGGTGGATTATGGTTACGAGTTTTTAATCGTGTGTTTTAGATTTGAAAATAACAATACTCGCAGCTAATGTTATTACGGGATTAATAGCAACTGTTATGGTAGCTATCGGTGAAAAGTATAGTATTCCTTATTTTTATTTACCATGGCTGGTAAATACCATCAATGGTATTGGATTTTACGAGGGTCCGATTCTTATAAATTTGGCTTACACTCTTTTTCCAAATTTAGGGATTCCAACAGGATTATTCATATTCATGATGTTGCTTCTATATGGTAATATTTGATGGAACACATTTTTCCCGTTATATTTTTAAAATACATTCATTTCGAGAATTACGGTAAAACAAAAATGGCGTTTATTTATTACAGTTGAGGAAATATGCGTCTGGAATGAAGTATTTACCAGTTTTAAACGTTGTTGGTTTAATTATAGCAAGAAAAAACACGTTATCATCGAAAACAAGGAAAATAATATTTCAAAAAACAATGAGAAGATTCTTCCTGAAGAAAATGTGAAAAAAAATCCTAACCGACTTATCGATAAACTTAAATATCAAAGAAGATCTTTCGATTCTTACAATAAATCCAATAATCCCTTTTATATTAATTCTTTTCTAAAGAAACAGTTTCGGTCATAATTAATCATCTAATTTAAATGAAAATCGTGAAACATATGAACGTGTAAGATAAGACATTGCATTTAAAAGACAAATTACGTAACAAATGTATGTTTACTTTCTTAATTTAGATAATTTCCGAACAATTAGTAATAAAAATTCCAACCACCTACTTGTTTCATTTTTTTTTTTAAATTGAATACTCTCACGCGTTAAATAAATACATCAAAAGTGATAAAGTATAAATAACAAATGGATACATTTTTTATTTTGATTGTAATTATTTTTCAAACACTTGCCACTTTTTACATTGACTAAACATAGAACAAAGAAATGTCTTGATTGGGCACTATACAATTCTAGACATTTGAAAGTGACGACAAGTTTGTTTCTATGTCAGCTAGATGGCTCCTCAATCGCACGTTGAACATTTCCTCGCGTTCAATCCGGAAATGACATATATTCTTGTGCCGGTTGACGATCTGTTTCTTGCAACGGTTCAAGAGGTTTTACGTTTGAATCAGTAATATATACACAAATTCGTGAATCATTTAAACGCTCATCGTTTTCTTCAAAAGGAGACGAAGAGATATTTGTTTGTCGTTGACCTATTTTTTTGGCTTCTTGTCTGTTTTCTTAGAAAAAAAGCAAGGTACGTGTGAATCCGCTATTTTCTATTTAACGAGGTTAACTTGATCGAAATAAAAACCGTTATAGTTCGACCGTTGCTTTCTTTACAGATTTTTTTTTTGCTCTTAAAAAAAAGAAAATAAAACAAAAATATTAAGAAAGTTAAAAAAAAATATATTATAATTAATTATCTTTAAATAATCTATTTCTAATCGTTATCTTTTAATTAACGCCATGCACACACTTGTTTCCATTGTTTACCGCCTTTTAAGAACCGCCAAATATTTTTTGTCTTCTCTTTACCAATGATTCATCTACATATTTATTTCTATATAAAGATTACAGAGAAATATGTGATTATATTCATATTAAGCGGCACTCGTTTTAAATAAATAAGATTATCACGTGTTTGACAAATTGATGTTACGTATAACGGAAAGTGGTTATACGCGCGTTCAATTCTATTTTTACGAATGGCATCTCGTTACCTGAATATAACCTCACTTATTCTCACAATTGTAAATTACGAAAGATTAGGGATTTTAATATCTTATCTTTGTTATGGGGAAGATATTCTTACGTATTTATACTTATGTTAGATTTTAATAAATGTTTTTTTTTCTTTTTTTTTTTTCATTTTATTGCATTTGCGATACATTAATCTCTGATATAACAAACAACAAGCATCAGGTAAAAAATATGATAATTAAGAAAATGTTATCTGTGAAAAAATGTTTTTTCCATTTTAAATAATATTATTTCTTTGTAATCGCTTGGACAACAATTTTTTACTTCTTCTTATGTCATACCAAAGCTCCTTTTCTAAATGTTAGGCATTGTTTATCCAAAAACTACCTGAAAATTTTTATTCCTTTTTTTTTGGTTTTTTTTTTCTCTTCCTTTTCTTAAACATTAATGGACGAATCTTAGTTCACAATCCTTTCATTTGTAATATATTTTTTGTTTGGCTTTTATATCATTTTCGCTGTAATAATTCGTAGCAAAAGCTAGTTTCTTATCGCACATATTCGATCGTTGCTTATTATTGGCTGGAACAATGTTATGCTAAACTATGCACTTTACAAACATGCTTATTACTCTATTTATAAGGCGATTGGATTGTACTAAATAATATAATAATAAACTTATATTATATTTCAAGATTAGACCTTGGAGGCGCAAGTTTAAAAAATCTTTAACTTTACTTTCAAACTGTTTCAAAAATTATTGCAAACAAAAAAAGAGAAGATTAATATTTTAAAATGTTAATGAATGTGCAGATTAATATAAATTGTTTACTCTAATTATTATTAAACGACCGCTTGATATTAAATTTGGTTATAAATTTCATAAGACTTATAAAAATGAATGCAACTATAAATGGAAGAATAGCAATCCTTGAATATATTTACAATCAATTTAATTAAATTAATCAGCTAATCCTTATACTCTTCAATACGCCTTTTTTCTTTTTTTTTTTTTTTTTAATTGACTAAAGTTAGATTACCAGAAACAGTTACCATATTTTCAAGCTTTTGAAGCTTTATCAAATAATAAGCGGATTTTCAATATATCTATTAAATATTCTACAATTTATATTCTTTGAGTAACTGTTTCTTGCAATATGACATAATTTGACTGTTAACAAAAGCTAAAATACAAAGTCAAATACTGTTTCTTCTTTCAGTCAGAAATTCTATACTGAATGTGTAATATTCTTCTATCTTTGTATATTTTTCTATCTTTTAACGCAAATCTGTATAAGCATTATTAACGATAATGAAAACTAAGTTTGATCTCTAGGTAGTATCTACGTCAAACGAATCCTTCCAATCAGTATTTACTCGTGTCGAAATAAGCGACCTAGAACAATAGAGATTTTTCTTAACAGGTACAAAACATCGTATTTAGAATATTATCTAACTGTCACAATCGTAACTATTCTGTCATGTGTTTGGTAAAGATTAAACTTAAGTACAATTTGTACCACCCTTCTCATGCGTACATAAATTAAATTACTCTTTCTGTAGAGAAATTGATAATGCCTTCGAGATGGTCAATTTCATTGAATATTCATGTAACTCGATAGAGATTTTTCAAAACGGATGCCAACTTGACGTTCAAATACTGCAAAGATCGAAACACTACAACTATGATCATAAATACTTGCGTACCCTTATGCAACGTTACATTAACAACCCCTACAATATCGTCGTTTAAATACAAAAGCTTTCAAAAATAACAAAAAAAAAACAAACAAACAAATTCGAATAAGTGAAGCAGCAAGTCGATACTCCGTAATGAATATATAAGGTTTATAAAAATGTTCGGTCATCGACTTACTACAAAACTTAATCAGACGATTTCACTCAATCACAATATTCAAATCGTCAGATCATAGTTACACTTTAGAGATTCAACAATTTATCCTATACATCATCATCATCATCATCATCATCGTATCTAACGTATTTCTTTTTGATCACATATATTATATGCGTGCTTGATTGAAATAACACTTAAAAAGAAATACGCAAGTATGTACAATCTTTTTTATATTCTTCTTTCCTGGGTTCGATGTATCTCAAGCAAAAGATTACTTCCTTCGTTGTTTTAAGACTTCTCATACTTCATCCAAAAATCCTCTATCGCAATAGACACCAGACATTAAATGACCTTAAACCTCGAAGGCCTCCCACTGCTACGCGATCATGGCTGCGATTGGACTAAAACGCATTATCTTGCTAAGCAAAATCCAAGCAACTGATGCGAGAGCGCAAAGGGTCACTCCACCCCATCCGAAATCCATGCTCCAAGAAGTTGTAAAACGACGTGCTTTTAATATAGCACGTGACACTGGACCACCTATCACACCATCTTCTGGACCATTAAATATGCGAACATCACGATCTTGAGCTCTCTTGAAGTGGATGATGGTTAATGTGAAGAGCGCGAACGTTGCTGCAATTTTTGATCTCTTTTGTAAATTCTTTTCTACATTTCCATACTTAATGTTTTAACCCTTTGCACTCCGCTGTCTCATCGCATGAGACATCGTGATTCTAGCCTATCACTCCGATGTCTTAACGTATGAAACATTAAAGTTTATTAGTGATTACAGGGTATTAAGTTATTTCAGCACAACTTTTTGAGACATGCATGTTTCACTGATGTTTTTTCTTAATATAGCACAAGACATCGAATCAAAATATAGTAAAATAACAAAGATATATAAAAAAATGTCAGCGGGTTTTGTGTTCTAAGAGAATGCGAGACGCGTGTTTACGACGGTCCGAGAACTTTTTGGCGAAACTGTAGAAAAGCGATAAGAAGAATTTGTAGAAGAAATGTTTTTATAGGAGCATATCTCGCATTTTATAGTGAGATTTATAATGTACAAAGAAATATTATCAAATAGTATCACATTTCAAATACAATGGAACTCGCTCGCTTTTTTTCAATTGCAACGCTATTACACACATACATTTTTTTGGTAAATAAGTTCTTTTGGTAAAAGTTCTTTATGTAAATATGTTCCTTGATGTCTACAGATTAATATAAGTCCAATGTCATTAGAATCCGTTATTTGGTTCCAAAATTATACTAAATAATACGAGGGTTTGTAAATGTGCCGTATCTGCCGCGAAGTCGCGCAGAGTTGCTGCTACCCAGCGTCGAAAGTAGTGCGGAGTGCAAAGAGTTAAGGCAACGGACTGTAATATAAACTGATACGAGTTGAGTGTTTCTTGCTAATTACGAACCGAGTACATTCGTTACACTACGTCATAGATTAATTTTCACGAACAGTCAATATCTCACCTGCCAATAAATACATGACTCCAGTAACGAGAACAGCTGATATTTGATGTCTGCACAATCCAAAAAATCCTATTAGCACAGCGGTGCCAAGAATAATCAGGCAAACGAGAGAACAAGAAATACTTAAATTCTGCATTCCTGAAACGATAGAATAATAGATTCATTTAATATGAAATTTTTATCGCGTTATAATAAAATCATTCGAAACTATATAATAAAAAAAAGAAAAGGAATCGAAAAAGTAAATTCATTAATGTGATCGTTAGATAACGTTTAATTAAAAATTCTTGCAAGGTCAAGGATCATTATCGAGATATCTCGTTTTGAACGACTTGACATAATTTAAACATTTCGCAAATTGTTGGTAGAATTTTATTTATTTTTTTCCTCATTCATAGAATGTTAATTTATAGAAACGTAATTCTAATATTATACTCTTATTAAACATTCAAAATGGCGGTGTTTACTTGAAAAAATTGATACTAACACGAACTTAAAACTTAAAAAAATATCGTTGTTAAAATAAATGAATTTATTCGATATAATCTTAATAGAATCTAATGTCCATTCGAATTCTTTATCCGTACAAGTTACTTCTTTATTATCCTATTACAAACCAAGGTCTCATTATAAAACAATCCCCTCACAGACGGGTGAGGGTTTCCTTTTTTATTTCTCCTTATATCCTTATCAACAATGTAGCATATTTCAAATTGCTATTTATGGATTTTGTATAACGTCATATTGTTTATTTTAAATTCATCACTTTCAAATAAATGAATAAAATAATTGTCATGATTAACGAAAATTCATTGTTTACACTCGTAAAGAGTTTCGTGTCATGCAGTCGATTTAAACAAAGTTGAATTTTTTAATCGAGAAAACAACAAGAACAACAAAATTGTAAAAAATCATGTCAATTTTTTGATTTGATTGACCTGTACGCTTGAAGTCCATAGAACGTAGTCGATCTACACACAGGGGGTTGAATTTCATCGAGAAAAAAAGAAATCACAAAAAATTCGTTAAAATCATGTCTCATGAGGATCAAGTTCAAGTGTAGAAAGAAAAAGAAAAAAAAAAACAAAGAAATGTCAATAATCTCACTTACGATTCTGCCATGCAGCGCGAATTTCTTCGTGTGCCTCGTCAGGTGTCAAGTAATTAATGCACCTTTCTTGAGGAAACCCTACCTGACCCAGTAATCGTATTTCGTCTTCTGAAATCAAAACAAAAGAGAAAAAAAATTCTTTTTTTTTTTTCCTTTGGAAATGATTATCCCATATTCGATACATTCGATGATTCATATAGACGAATTTAGTATACTTTAGTATACTTTATTCCAAGTGAAAAGGTCGAACGACCGTACAGAGATGCACATAATTTCGTAGTTGAAATAGTATTTTGCATTGTTCAGTGCTTAGCGTGACTAAGAACCATTATACAAAAGTAGAAAAACGTAGGAGAAAACCAATTATCTCGTTGCACGCACCTTTCCGAAATCTCCAATTTCATATCTTACTAAATTACTAACATACGCGTGATATCGCGACCTTCTCCAAAGAAAATTCCATTAAAACTACTCGCTGTATAGAACTTTCAACATATTTTTTTTTTCTTATAACTTTTGAATCGTGAATACAGTTATATGGGACACCCTATATATGATGAATAAAAAAAACAGAAAATATGAAAAAGTTTTCAGAAGAATGATTTTATCGTTGTAAAAATTAGATCGGATTCTATTAAAATGACAAGAAAAATTAAATGAATTTCTTCTGTCTCACAATGAGAAAGTGAAACGAACAAGCGTGGGAAGATGAATTTAAAAAAAAAAAGGAAAAAAAAAGGAAAAAAATAGAAAAAAAAGAGAATACCCTTTAGACACTCTTATACTTTGATATTACTTTAAAAAATGTTTCATAAGCAAGAGACAAGAGGAAGAAGATTTTTTTTTTATTTAACTTCGGTCAAGGTAAAAATCCGATTTAAATTTAAGGAGATCAATATTGCTCAAACGTTTTAAAATAATTAATGAGATAAAGTCGAGTATTTGCGGACATAATGAAAGTAACGACGAATACACGACGGTAATGAAGGATTCAGAAAATTTAATTGGAAAACTTGACTTTCTTTTTCTTTTTCTTTTTCTTTTTCTTTTCCTTTTCCTTAAATCTCTCGTTCCTTTTCTCTTTGTAAGGTTTAATAATTCCATCGTAAGGAAAATTATAGAACGCGTTATACATTTTCTTAGTACGATTTAACGAGCCGAGTACGCATTCAAACTACGAGAATATTTTTTGCCTTTAAATGAAACGAGATGAAAAGATCGTGTAATTTCCTTTTTTGTGTTTCTTGTTTTTTTATATATGTGTGCATGAACATGTCATGCAATAAAACACACAATTAAATCTCATTACGTACAACGGATTGTTTTTTTTTTCTTTTCTTTTTTTTGAAAACTTAATAAAATTTATTCATAATTTTACTTGATTGTGTGTTAGTTGAATTTTATACAAACGTATAGAGCATACACACGCACACACTTGCATCAAAAAGGTACGAAGTACTTCATTTATACCTGCTAACATTTACATTCGGTATTTACATAACAGTACGTAAATTTACTCTGAAAATACTCAACACTAAAGTAAAACGTTCTCTTTCTTTCTCTTAAGCACAGCTGAATTTGGAATATTTCGCAAAAGAACATCCGAAATGTTCGCAATACTGAATTAGATATTTCCGATAAAATGTATAGATCCTAATCGAGTGATCGATACAACTGCGACGGGCAGAGTCAAGGTAGCATCTCTTCGAGTAGACACACCCACGCAACCCTGAATCGTTTCTGTGTCTCTTTATGGTAACATCAACAAGCACGGAAAGTGTGCAAGTACTTTAAGAAAGGAAAGGTACGTGTCTTGTATAGAAAAATCAATTTTTCGAAGTGAGTCATCCATATCGAAATAAAACGTATATATGATGTCTAGAAGATTCTTCTTCGATTCTAACATGTTTTTCTTCCCCAGTTACTAATTTTTCTAAGGCAGTGAAAAATTTGAACGATGTTACGAAATTAACATCCATTTGTATCCAAGCAAAAACTTTCTGCTATCACCGGGCGCGAAATATTCCACATGAGAAGCATTTATTTTTCTATCTGTGAACATTTGAACGGTGATACGGGTCAGTCGTCAGTTGAATTTTGAACAAGAAAGACTACTAATTCTAATCATGATGCAAATGGGGGTTAAAGATTTAATAAATGCACACAATTAAACTCGCTTACCCGATAACGAGACACACATAGTCCAAATTCCACCGTGCATTGGTACCAAAAAAGATCCATGTCTACCGTGATGATGATTCCTGTGAGCCTTTGGTGCCTCCAGCATTGCCACTTGACCATCCAAGTACCATGTGAGACTAACATTAACATGAATTAGGGCTTCTTTATTCCATCCAACTTCTTCCCAATGATCGGTCATTATTGCTCCGCACAACAATCCGGTTGCTGAAACATAAAACATTGGGTATGTTAATAAAAAGAAATTAGAAAAGATAAACAATTTTATTTAAATTAAATGTAAAAAAAAAAGAAATGTTAAAAAAGATTATCGTATAACGACATTTATAAACTTGATTTTCTAATTGAAAGGACCGCGAATAATTATTATTAAAGTACGCGAACAACTCACTGCAACCCACAAAACATTTCTTCAATTTGTAAATGTGAAGCTTTAAAAGAAAATCTTTCTCTCGGTGTGATTGAATTGTGATATTTTTATTTATATTAAACTTTAGCATTAAGGAGAAAAATGAAACGTTTGAATAAATTAAATTTTCCTGATTTTCCCTTTCATTCGTTCGATATTCCGTCGGATTCTGTGACAAAAGATAAATTCTTTGTGTGTGGCACCGGTGTTAAGAGGTTCTCGAGAATAATAGAGTTAAAGAAGCACTTTCGTAAACACGCTAATACACACACACACACACATATCTCTTCTTATGAAAAAGTATAAAGTTTGGTGAATTCAACCGGTGGTTGGTTGCTAGCAGTGTTGAATTTTTTCTGATGATGATGAACAACAACAAAATAAAAAAAGGAAAGAAAGAAAAAATAAATTTTGAAAGCACACGTATTAAATCATTTTTTAAAAAGACACAAAAGTCAATACGAGCAATACATGTTTTCTTGCGAATTCGGATATGTGTGCATACACACACACACACACACTCGAACACTCTGCGACTAGTCCTGACCTTTTGACCTATCTCTCCCGACAAGTATAGTTCGACACCGAAAATTCATCTTTGTTGCATAATCAAAAATGTTCTCGATTAGTATCGTAGGAAGGGGTAGAGAATATCACATCTCAGTTGTCTGTCCCTCCAGCCACGTGTATCAAAATGAAGACAATTTTACGCGGTATCATCCCACTCGATTTGAGGTAACAGGGTTTTGACAACAATATTATAATTATTTTCTCATTATGACAAAAGACAATAATTACTAAACTTTCTAACAATAACCCAACAAAAATGGTATTCTCTTCTTGTCTAAAGTTGTTACCCCAATTATAAAATAATACAATTGAATAACGGAATTGCCGACGTTGTATTAAAATTATTTTGATAGGGAAAATAAAACATATGAAATTAGGGGAAAAATATAAATGAAGACATTTGAAGAAGAACGAGGATAAGCGAACACCCACAAATATTTGGGGTGGAGAGTGGGGAGTGGAAGAGAAAAAGGTAGAGGGGGAGAAGAAGATTACCTGCAAAAGTAAGAACAAGCGTGGCAAATAAAAAAACGAGACGCGGACCAGGGCCCCTGGGTACACGAGTAGGCTCCATCCGCGCAGGTGGTGCCCAGGGCGACCACTGGCAGCCCACTGATAGCCGCGAGCACCACACTGTGCACCTTCTTCTCTTCTTGCTTGCTTTTCTCACTAACCCTTACTGCGAACATCGCCACCGCCACCACCACCACCACCACCACCCCAATACGGTCGCCCTTTTCAACGTTGGAACATCTACAAATACGCCATCTACATCTTGCGTTTTACGAACCGTACGAAAATCGACCGAATTCACCCCACCCTTGTTGGGATGCTGCGGACAACCCTCTTTTATCTTTCTTTCTTTTTCTCTCTTTTTTCTTTTATAATCTTTGTATTTATTTAGATTACATTTTGTCTTATTCTTTTTTTATTAATTTCATTTATTTCATAACTGATCAACGTTGTTTGAATAAATTATTTATTACACAATATTTATAGATTAATGAAAAATTGAATTTGGATTATAAAATATTGTCACATAAAATCTCCCCCCCCCTCTTATGAAATTTTGTATAGAAAACTGTATATCAATGTAATTATAAATTTGAATCCATTGTAATTCGATAAAGCTTATATCTTTGCTTTACATCTCACGATCTTTGATATTTCAGTATAAATTTCTGTCATTGTAAACACGTACATTATTAATAGAACTAGTCAATAATTACGATAAAGAGAAGTAAATTCATTTTCTTGTTTATACTCATGTGCCAATTCTCATTTGATGTTACAAGCCATCGATAATAATAATTGCAAATTAAAATCGATTTAATTTTATTTTATTAAATAGTAGTACGTAACTTTTCTTTTTTTTCTTCTTGAAATCCTAAAAATTGGAATTAGTTAGATAATTTGGAAGTAAAATTAAAGAAATATTTGATATAAATTAATTGAATAATATTGTTTGAATCCGTAGATGGCCGATATACCGGAAAACGTACCATTCACCGATCCTGCAATCGCAGTATCTCAGGGTAGGCGACATCTTCTTGTACGTGATTATACGATGGCTGTAACCGCGCTTGCCCAGGCTTGCGAATTGCTTGCGAAGAAACACGGTGATACGGCAGACGAATTAGGAGAACCGTATCTTCTTTACGGACGTGCTCTTCTAGGTCTGGCTAGAGAAGAGACTGGTGTCTTAGGAGGAGGTGTACCAGGTTCCGAGGAAGCTCAAGGTGAAGAAGATGCAGAGGATGATGATGAGGATGAAGAAGATGATGAAGCTGACGAGGAAAAATTAAATAAAATTGATGAGAAAGAGGAGGAGGAGGAGGAGGAGGAGGAGGAGGAAGATGATGAAGAGAAAGAGGAGGAAGAAGATGAGAAAGAAAATAAAATTGAATCCGTGAAAGCTACTACTGAAGAAGAAACCTTAGAGAAGAAAAATGAAAAAAACGAGAAAGATGAAAAAAATGAAAAAAATGAAAAAATTAAGGAAAAAGAAGAAGAAAAAGAAGAAAAAGAAGAAGAAGATATGGAGAAGAAAAAAGATGATGAAAAGGAAGAGAAAAGTATAGTAGAATCAGAAAATGAAAATACTTCGAAAAATAATGAAACCACAAATAATGCTGATAATGATGCTTCGGAGGCAGCAACATCGTCAAAACAACAAAATGGTGAAAGTACAAAAGAAAATGGTGAATGTAACTCCGAGGATATCACTAAGGAGGACGAAGAGGATGAAGTTAATAATCTTCAGGTAAGAAATAAATTATTTCTTTTAGAGATCACATTTGGAGATTGAATCCTTTTGATTAAAGAGAATGAACAATAAATGAGATCATTTGTGTTAAATAAAAGGTCGCTTGGGAGGTACTGGAATTAGCAAAGCTGGTTTTGCTTAAACGAGGAAAATCAGGATGGAAATTGTTGGCCGATTCGTATCGATTGCTTGGAGAAGTAGCCATGGAAGGAGGAAATCACAAGGGTGCTCTAAACGATCTACAAGGATGTTTGGATCTACTGGAAAAGATTGATCCACGGGAACCTAGGGCTATTGCTGAAATTCATTACCAATTAGGATTGGCTCATTCTCTGGGCAATGAATTTGATGCAAGCATAGAAGAATTTAATAAAGCTACTGAACTTTTGGAAACTCGCATAAAAGAACTAGAAGCGATCACTGAACCACCAAAGACAGATGATCCTTTTTATTCCATCGAAGGAGAGATTCAAGAACTTAAGGATCTCCTTCCAGAGATTCAAGAAAAAATCACAGATATGCAAGACTTTAAAAATGAAGCCTGCAAGCTCGTCATTGAAAATCTCAAAAGTGGATTATCGAGTTGTAGTTCGAACGGTGCTGGACCTAGTTCAGATGCGTCGAACTCGTCGTCATCTGGTAACACGACAAGCCCAAAAGTTGTTAAACCGGTTAGCGATATATCGCACCTCGTGCGAAAAAAACGTAAGGTTGACGAACCTGAACCGGAAGTACCCATGCCACCACGCAAGAAGCCCACTCCCGAAAAAGCCGTCTGAATAAAGTTTTTAATAATTACGATTTAAATCGCTATTACGAACTTTTGCGAGACCTTCGCTAGGTGAACTAGATTTTGTTATATATGATATTTAATACTGGACGAAAACAGTTATTTTAATAGCAATTCCTTCAGTTTCGGAACGATGTTATCTGAAATCTTATTCTTTCTTCTTTTTATTTTCATCAACGACAAAGATGTGTGAGGTGTAATTGCTGTTTAACAAAATATATTTCTTTTTTCTTCAATTTTTCTTTTAATACGTAAAATAATAACGTAAACATTCATTTATTTATTATTTACGCGATACAATAGTTTTAAAACGCATTTTTTGTTGCTTTTCTCTAAGACATGAATCTAGTTTTCATCAATAGGATTCTGAGATGTAATTTGTTAAAAATAAATCTAAGGTTGTTTTGTGTGCTAAGTTTAAATAATAAAGATTGACATTCTGAATTTTTCTAAATGCTCGAATATTTTCATTTGTTTCAAATTATCCAAACTTATATAATATTAATACTTAAGATTACAATTATATCATCTTATCATTTACGAGTAAAATAGTATAAAGATATATCACTATGGACGGATTCTAATTGCACTCTTTATCTTCACTATTACGCAAATATTGAACTATAACATGATACGTCAAAATTTCGTACAAATGAATGGACTTACTTTTATATTCATTCGCCTAAAAGTTCCTCGATATCATCGTCTTTATCAGAACTTTCCTGATATTGAATCGATGGTTTATATCCCAATGCTTCTAATAAATTAATGTTATAGTAATAACTAAGATTTATGCCAGGTACCAAGTGTTTTAATTCTTCTATGGTAGCCCGAGCTTTTTCTGTATCTCCTATGTTTGCATAATGTTGAGTAATAGTAGCAAACAAATCCCCACGACGTACAGATTGTTCTAAATCGGAACCTTGAGAGTCGAGTAATTGTCGAACTTGCAACATCGCTGTTTCCGTTTCACCTCTGTCGAAGAATCTACAAAAGATACAAATAAATATATTCAATATTTTTATTGTCATTTTTCAATATAATAAAAAGAAATATCAAATATTGACATACTTTTTAATATCAATGTAACGTCTTATCGCAGCCATTCTGTTATTAACTAAATCAGTAGCTCTTTTATGAAGATCCGGATCTCTGGGTGACATTACTTTAGCAAGACATTTACTTGCTTGATTCAATGCATCTAATGCTTTTTCATAATTTTGAAATTCGTCAATTTCCACCTGAGCACAGGCCACATAAAAATTAGCTAACAAATCCATAGCTTTGCCTTTTGAATAAAAATTAATGATATTTTTTAAAATTTCGGGCTGATTTTGCCAATCCAATGATTGCAAATAATTGCCCGCCATAATATAAATTTCTCTTTGTCTTGAAACTTGTGCAAAAAAACAAATTTTTTCCGTATCACCGGATTTGAGTAAAGCTTTCATGGCTCTTAATTTGTTTCCAGCTTGCGTAAATTTCTTCGTAGCCAAATGATAATTTCCTTGATCGAACGCTATTTCTCCAACTTTTTCTAACGTATCAATCCTTCTCTTCTCATGTTCTACATCATTCTCGACTTTTTCCGTCGTCATTTTTTCCGCAAGATCTTCGGTCAACGTTACGTTATGCTTTTGTATTAATTCTAACGCCTCCATATACTTTCCACCAATAGCATATAAATCAACAGCTTTATCTATTTGTTCATTTTGTACAAAATATTCAGCACACTTCTCGATAAGAGCAGGATCCGAATCAGCATTAATGTCCATGGTAATAAGTTGCAATGCATTGTATTGTTGCATCCTAAAAGCTATATCCAAAGCTTTGTGTAATAAACCAGCTTTATGATATAACAGAACAGCTCTATCCAGTTGTCCATTTTCTTCGTAATATTTTGCAACTTCTATTTGCGATTGTCTGGATGCTAAAACTGCCAAGGGCCACAATTCTTCGGACATGTGATGTTCCTACATTAAATATAAATATGACACATTGATAAACGATAATATAATTTAATTATGTATATATATTTTACCTTGCACAAACGAATTGCATTCGTATATGCCTTTGCTATCGTATAAAAATGAATAGATTGTGATATATTATTTTTCGATTCATAATGTGCAGCCAAGTGATAAGCAGATGCGGCATGATTTGTTCTTAAAACGAGATCGCATACTTCATCATCTCTATTAAAATAACACAATAATCTTGTCATTGACAACGTATCATTGGCTTGTTCATACAAACGTAAAGCTCCTTCCATATCTCCAGTCGATTCTATGTACTGAGCATGCCAATTTTTTATTTGACTAAAATGTTAGGAAAATATACTTATAAAATAATATACTTAAATAGTACATGATAATAGTATACAATAATAGTACACGATGCGTACGGATCATCGCAATTATTTAAATATGTAGCAAGTTCTCTCGGTCTTGTAAGTAACATTCTTGGTACTTCGTATCTGTGACAATCAGCTTTTGTGTACATATCAATAGCTTCAGCAATTTTTCCTTCCCATTCGAGAACTTTAGCATAATTATAGTAACTTGTCCTTTCTCGAATTTTATTTTCATTCGATGCTAATTCTATGGCTTCTTTGAATTTATTACGAGCTTCAAAAAGTTTGCCCAATAAATCGAATCTTTTCGATTCGCGAAAAAGACGTTCAGCGTCACTCTGTTTAATATTTAATGATGTTATAATAATATTATAATTATCTTATCTATAGAATTATATTAATTTCATTCAGTTTCAGATGAATACACTTACATACAATCCAAGTTCGACTGCTAATATGCCAACCTTAGTTTCTAAACTTAAACTGTCATCTTGCATTGCTTGTTTCAATGCTTTAGCTGCCTTGGCTTGTTTCATATGTCCCAAACATAAAAGAGCCATATTTAGTTGTTTTGTCTTTACACACATTCTTGCTAAACTTTTCCATACAGCTTCGTTCTTAATAGTTTTAATAGCTTTGAAAGCTTCATCCATATTAGCTATACTAATATAAAAACTAAAATCTAGAACAGCTTTTTTAGTTACGGGATCGCAGTCTTCGAGTTCTTCAAAATCTCGCATGAGTAATCGCATAATCTTACTATTTTTTTCAAGTACATTTTCAGAATTCAAAATTATTATATGAGGCGATTGTACTCCCAATAATCTGCAGTTTTCGTCTTCTATTGGCTTTACATCTTGTATAGCAATTCCATAATCGGATGTAGCAAATAATGAAACGAATACTACAGCAGCCTAAAAATAATCCAAATTTCGAAATAAATATATAAGTATAACAGTTGAACAAAATTAATTATAAAATACGTGCATCATAATTTACCTCGTCATCAATTTCGTTTGATTTTGTAGATTCTCTTGTTTCTAATTTTTGTGCACGACATACCAAAAGCCTTGGGTCTTCGATATCCCAGCAATGAGCTGTAACTAGTCTTCCTCTACACTTCATAGCTCTGAAACATTCGTAAATCAATATGTTGACAGAATGTTTTAAAGAATATTAAAACATTTTTAAATTTGTTACTATTATCATTTACAATGCAGATTCATCGTCGATCGTATCATCTGATCTAGCAAAATCAAATTCATGCATTTGATCACTTTCAATGTCCCATACATAAAGTATTGAACTAGGCATAAGATTAGCCATAGCAACGGTAATAGACACACATCGGCAATCTGAATTACATTTAGCTTCAATAATTTCAGCAAAGTCATTAATGGCTTCGTATGTTGCCATAGCTCTGGTATGTAGTTCGATTTCTCTTTTACTTAAATCCCAAATTTTTAAAATACCATTTAACGATGCAACTGTTAAATATCGACCAGTAAGGTCCATGGTAATCGGTTCACCTTCTTCTGGCATTGTTGGTAATGTTTGTGTAATGGTGCCTTCTGTTGATCGCAATTGAATAACTAACGGCGTCAAGATAATCAATGTATGTTCATAAATCAATATCTTTTCAGTATCACAAGCAAAACTTCCTATTATCATTGCACTTAGCAAACCATCCTTTTTATTAATTCTATAAACTACGACTTGTCTGCTAGATGAAACAGCTGCATATTCTTTATTCACAGCAATGATTTGTACTTGAATGTCGGTTTTCAATGTATGCGTCTGTCCATCTATCTCCAATAAAATTTGTGTTGGACTAAGCTGACTTGCACAAACCCCGTCATTGTATGCAGCGCACATAGATTGTTGATGCAAAATAAAAACATTCGTAATACAGTTAACTGCCAGAAGAGGATTTCTCAATAAAGTTGCACCCCATATCAATTGTTTAACAGTACCATGAATTGTACATGATTCGGGAATACTAGACCAACGATTTTCATCAGAATCAGTTACACCTTTTCCTTTCCATAAATAAATTGTACCTAAGTTTGTCCCAGCAGCTAATGTATCTGTAAGAAATTGTATAGAATATTAATGAATGTTATATTTAAAGAAATATCTTATTAATGTGTATGATATAAATACCATTATTTTTACAAAAAGATAAGCTTGTACAGATTTCCTGAGGCGTGGCAAGATTACCAGTCAATGAGTCGGGAGGTGATAAAACATATGTATCTCCAGTGTGAAGATCCCAACAACGAACACCCAGTTCTCCGGTTAAAACAGCTAATGTATTACCACCAGCCCAGCAGATAGCAGGACCACTGCGAGGTACATCATTTCGACCGCTAAGTTTCACCTGATTAAAAATATAAAATAATAAATACAGTACATAAATATATTTACTAAAAAAGTATTGATCATTTTGAAAATACCTTAGTTATTTCTGTCAATTGGCCAGTAATTGGATCTGCTTGGAAATATCCAATATTTAAACCTTCTGTCATAATAATAATAGAATCTCTAATCTGATGATGTAATAAAAATTGTAATGTAACCCCATCCGTATTAAAAACTTCCATGCATTGTCCTTGAGCGTCAATGAAATATATAACTCCACTTGAAGTCCCAATATAAAAAGCATGATTATCTTTACGAGTTGAAACAGATATTGGTGCTGCAGTTCTGGGACGCCAATAACTAAAAAGATCTAATGCTCTTTCATCTCCAGCTACTGCAGCTTTTGCCAAATCACTAAATGTTTTTTAAATATTACATAATTTATATAATAATAAATATGATATTTTCATTTGAGAAGTCATTCAAATTTACCTATAATCCATGCTTGGTTTCATTGGAATAAATGCAATATGTGTAAAAGATCCTTTTAATTCATGATGAAAAACCATAAGTAATTGACCTCTGGAATCAATTTTCCAAGCTATTATAGAACCTGCAGCATCTGCTGATACTAATCTACTTCCATGCGGACTCCATTGTAAAATTGTTATAGGATCACGATGCGGTGTTACAATTACATTAAATTCACTGCTTCCAGTATCGCCTGGCCATATCTGTAATTAAATAATAAGAAAAACAATATAGTTCATGATCATTTAAATATAATATTGTAATGGTATTAATGAACGTATATATAAATTTTTTATTTTTTATTTTGAAAGATTATAAAATTATTTACCCGCAACTCTCCACTTTCCCATCCTGCTGCAAGCCATCTCTTATCAGGATGCCAACCAAGAGCTGTCACCTGAGCTACGGAATGTCTTGAAGATTCCACATCTTGTAAAGGTTCTCCTTGATCATCGTAAACTGTTACAAATCCTCCCTTATCTTGAGAATATGCTGCTACAGCTAACAGTGGATAATTTGGATGCCATGTTGTATGAGTACTGATTGAAGCAGTTTCTGGATTTTGCACTCGTGTGTCAAAATATAATGACATCTTTTTATTATTTGTCTAAATTCAGATATTTCAAGACTGACATATAAATAACTAAAATATATTTGAAATTATTAATCATGTCATGTCTTGTAAAATATTTTAAAGAAACGATTAAATGTATACACGTATATGTATTATACACTGTTCATTTTTTTAAATAAAGTTATTACAATTAATAAATTATATTAATTTATATAAAAGATACTTGAAAAAAATATTTCAATTATTTTGTTATTTCTTTTTTTCTTATGCTATTAATTACACTTGATTATAAAGTCTATATCAATCAAAATGTGTAATGTTATTAGAATTGAATCTTTTTGATTTGACTAATAGGTTGCTATAGAAACCAAAATACAAAGCAGGATTGCCAGTTTGACGATATTTACTACCTAACCTTATTGTTGATACATCTTTCATAAAAGGCGCTAAAATTCAAATCATTTGCAATGAATATATATATGTAATGTAATTGTATTATTTATGTAAAGTTATTATGTAAAGTTTATTTAGGTTTTTATTTAGAAATTGATAAATAAAATATAATTAATTTAAATTCAAATAATATAATGTAATTATTTATATACTTACATCCATTTATTAATATATATGACTTTATTACAATAGCACTAAAAATAGTAATAATAATACGTTACCATTATATTCATTAATTATTATTTCGAATGTCTTTTTTTCAATTGACACAGTTCATTCTCTAATATATTTATTTTCTGAAAATTTTCCAAATATTTATATGTGAGAAGATTTTAAGATATTTTAAAATAAGAAATGAAATAGATTTAAAAATTATAGATAAATAAAATATAAATTGAATAATTCTACCTTAAGATAATTCTGACGCTGATTTTCAGCTGTCTCGTCAGCTGCTGCAAAAAGTAATTTATATTTTTCTTCTAATGAATTGACCAAAGCATTTAATTCACGTTGCTTTTCTGAATACAAGGAGATGTATAAATCAGTCTTCTGTCCTTGAAATTGTATGCACAACGACTTGATTTCCATATCTTTGCTCTGTATTGCGAAAAAATAACTTTAAATAAAATTACATTACAAGATAGATAATAATTAATAATAAATGTTATAATTAAACCTTAAGGATATGATTAATTTTTGTTTCATAATCGTATACAAGCTTGTCTTTAGATTTTTTAAGCTTTAATATAATCTTTTTCAACATTATTGTTTTAGAAATTAAATTCTCATTTTGATTTTGTGATACTAGTTCCATTTTACTTCTCATTTTATCAAACTCTTGTCTCATTATTGCATTTTGATCTGTTAACATGGCTCGTAATTTATTTTCCTGAAAGTATACATTTAAGTCATTTGATTAAAAAGAAAAAAAAAGAAGTATAATGATAGAATTTATAAATTATAAACAATTACATCTTTTGTTTCTGTTTCAAGCTTAATTTCCATCTCTTTTATTTTATTTGTCAATAATTCGATTCTCTTATTTCCTTCTTCATCTTTCTTCAATAATTCCAAATCCTTCTGACGAATTAAATCTATCTGTGTATTTATTTCTAAATCTTTTTCTTTTAAAAAGACTTCATATTGCTGGCGCATGGATTCTAATTTATCTATACATTGCTTCTTTATTGCATTAATCTCTTCTTCCTTAGGAAAAGCTATTAAAAATCTTATTTTTCTATATTCAACAGATTTCATTTCTTACCTCATCGTGAATAATTTTATCCAATTTTTGTGACATTGTAAGTAAATTGTTATTTAAACTTTCATTTTTACATTCAGCTTCGTGCAACTGAAATTTCAATTTAGAAAACTGTTCGGCTACTTTATTTTTATACTGTTGAACATTTTCTTTATGAGTAGATTCTAAAACATTTTGTATTCTTTGCATCTCTGATAATCTAGTTAAATAAATCAATGTTGTATTCTTCTTACATTAATATATTGTTATAAGAAAACTTATCATTTGGTTTTTGAATGTAAAAAATAAAGCTTACATTTACACTCACTTAGCTTTCAGTACGATAATCTCAGAAGTTAGTTGTCTTATATTAGAATGCAAACTTTCATTCATTTCTTGATACTCTAATAATTCTTTATGTAAATATTTATTTTCCATTTGTAATTCTTTAATAATAGCAATCGGTGAATCTGTATCATGGCTATGCGTTATGAACTGATTTCTATCTCCTATGTTATTGTCATTAAATTGATCTGATGATTGTTCAAACATATGTGAACATTGACTTGTATTTGTAGAATTTGTATCTTGTATTCTGAATACAGCATTTAGCGAATGTGTTTTATGTTCATTAGTTCGTTCCTGCTTGTGATATGAAGTCGTACTAAATTCTGACAGATCACTCAAAGATGAACTAATATAAACCTAAATTATATCGTTATTAAATTAAGAAAAAATAACAATAATATTTTTAATCAAATTTAAACAATCATGTTATACGTTAATTATTAAATTATAAATTATACTTATATGAACATATGAGATATAAAATTACCATGCGATATGGTTTATGTAATGGTAAGAGAGGTCCTAAAGGAGGAGGTTTACTAAATATTCCTCCTACATGACCTCTTTTCAATTGCTGACATAATTCAAGAAGATACTCATTTCTAAGACTACGTTGAAAAGAAGAAAGATTTAGTTTATCGAGCCAAATTTTACATAATTGAGCATCTTCCGCACATGTTAGATTTAATATAAAAGGTTTCACACTAATTAATGTTTGTTTAAAAAATTCATCCTGTTTAAGAGCTTCTTGTTCATCGTGGTCCTGGAGCTGTGACATGATTTTATATTATTTGACAGTACATTTTAACTAATAATATGAAAACATAATGTTTTCCACAAGAATGTTAAATTACACATTTTTTATAATTTTTTTTTATAAATATGTGAAACTTTAGTAGATATAGTACTTATTTAATAAATCTTTTCATAACAAATACAATATGGCCACAGATGTTATAATATTTCAAAAAAAAACAAATGTCACTCTACTTATTTTTCTAACCAGTAAATGTTTGTTTTGTCATTTCGTTTGTACGAATATTAATATTATGTTATCACAGAAACAAGCATTATTAGTATTTATTATCTCCTCATTTCAATTTTCTCATTTAATATTATATTATTTTATTTTATTTTTTGTTACCTTACAGAAGATCTCTATTATACATAAATAAATATATTAAAATGAAGTAATTAATTTTGTTCTATAGTATTAAAAAAACATAAAATTTACATCCATCTAATAATTTCATATAATGTGCATAGGAATACAAATTTTGAACGTAAATAAAAATCAAAGGTTTCTTAATATTTTTGTTTTCAAAAGTAATGTATCATAAATAATATTAATTACAAGTACAAAACATACTTATATTTCTCATCTATCGATATTTTAGTTCTATAAGCTAATGGGAAAGATAAAGTAAAGATAAATCTAATGTTACTACCTTTCAAAAATATGATAAACATATAATACGTACTTAACTCCTCGTATCATAATGTTTGACGTTAAAATGCAATTTTAATTAGTCTAAGTTCCATAGCAGATTTTCTCTTACAATTAGCCGAATATTTCATAATATGAGGGAACTGACCATTCATAATGTATGCATCATTAGACGAGGTAGAATGAAAGTAAACTAAGAGAAAAACGACTTACTATCTTTTCATAGCCGAATATCACAGCATAGTTTACGATATGACAAAGTACGATGGCAAATGATGTACGGTTGCTCTCATAGATTCACTTACGTTCACAAATGAAGTATTAAAATAATTATTTCCTCTTATAAAATTACATCGCATACCACTTGCGTGACATTATATTTTGAAGCCTAATTTCTAATTTTATTACATCTAAAAGGAATATTTCACATTATACACTATTTATTTGTATTCTTCTTCTTTATACTTTCTTTTACTCTAAACTCTATTGTTTATGAATGACTTCCATCCAAAATTACTTTCTGAGGTAAAAAATAAATGAATACTACATTATACTAAATATATTTTACGCGCGAATGTTAATCCTAAGTTGGTTTTCTGTTATTTGCTTCAACTCCGTTAGCTTTACTTTCATCGGTTGAAGATTTGTGCCCATCCACTCATTAATCATAAATGGAAAGAAGATATTTTCCATATGAAGTCTTAAATATGCCTCCAAAGATGATAGTTCCAATAACATACTATAGTATATGTATAATATATATATATATATATGCGATTATTTTGTTTTAACAAAAAGCTATGTTAAGACATAATGTAATACTTACCCCGAGAATGCAGGTATTAAACTCTCCAGTTGCATAGGGTTTGTATAATTGTTATCAATTTGCCATGGATTCATCCAAGTTAATATTCTGTTTAAATTTATATTCATACAAAATGCACATATATATAGATATATAGATATTAAACAACAAACGATGCTAATAAATTGTAAAACTTTTTTATACGTACTGATCATTGACTAAAACATTTTGATATTTATTTTTGTAATCTATGAACCACTCGATACCAACTGCTACTTCCCAGCCAGGAAACGATAGTTCATTTGGCATTGTTTGTCGTGGATGAGGTATTGTTTGTAAATCTAAAGGATTTGAATATCCTAAACTCTTAGCAACTTCCATATGTGATTGTTCTGAGTAACCATGGAGCCATGCTTTTAAGCAAAGTGCTAATGATGGTATTGCTGCAGGTAATAACTCACACATTGTAGCATAATGATCATACCTAAATAGAAAAATCATCTCCAAGAAACTATTATTAAGTATAATTTACAAAAAATTTACCTTGACCATCCAGTGAATGCTATGCCTCGAAATTCTCGAACTTTATTTACATTAATACTTAATTCTTCCAACCATTTCTCATGATTACTTATATGATGTCGAATTATCGGAATATGCCGACAAGACCCAGTTGCACCTTTAAATGCAGTTGCTACCCAAATGTTTGGAAATATAGTACTATATTTATCCCAGATATCTGTGAATAACATTGATTTATTGTTTTATTCCATTTAATTTGAATAAATGAATCATCCGATTATATATATTATATATACCTTGAGGTAGAGAAAAAGTTTCTCTAGAAGCGTAGTGCCAAATCATTGGTTCAACATATTTCCCTAAATAATACTCTGCGAGCAAAAATAATATAATTTTAATCGAACATTTATTGAAAAAAAAAGAAAATGAAACTGAAGAAGAAAATGAATCATTTAATAAATAATATTAATTCAAATACCATTCAAGACCCTTAAGTCTATTGATCTCAGCATATCATCCCACATAATTATCTTCAAATAAGGATATGTCTCTTGTATATATTGTGCGACAGCTAAAACATGCTCCAAGAATAAAGATGATTTTCCATGTTTACTAGCGGCAGCCCGTTTGGTACAAACAGAACAAAGACCAAGATGCCAAATTTCATCAGCTCCTATGTGTAAATATTGTATATCTGGATGAAAATTAACTATTTGACGAATTAAAGATGTTACCAAATTCATAGTTAGTGGATTAGATGGACACATAGAGCTTGGAAAACGTTCAACTTCACGTAGAAAGCGCCATTCGTCATGCTTCAGTACAAACTGCAATAGAATATAAATGTACATAAATTAAAATGATATTCTGTTTATTTCTTGAATTATTTCATTTATTATTTACTTACCTCCATATGTCCAAAAGTTTGTACCAATGGTACAACTGCCAAACCACAATCTCCAGCTATCTGTAAGATTTGCTTTCCCTCTAGAAGTGTATATCCGTTTGCCAAATTGATCGGTCTGTTGCTTCCTATTTGAGTAAGCTCTCGAGTGTACGGGAAGGTATCTTCCCATTCTAATAGTAATCCAGTGGCACCCCATGTTCTTATCAAAGGAAATAACTGTAATGCGTTATGCAAATAATATAATTATAAGTTATATTATCAAGGCTATATTACATATTAGTAAATATTCAAATATATGATTATACCCATAAATATTAAATACTCATTTATTTAATCTAACAAAACATATAAACAAAATATTTCATTACAATAATTAAATATATCGTTTAAACTAAAATCTCGTTGATCAAATCATTTGTTGAATCTTAGAAACAAAGAAAATCATAACTTAAAAATTAGATTACAACATAAATTAAATAATTTTAAATAAATAAATATTTCAAAGGTCCACTTAACTTTTGTTCTTTTTTAATTCAGAAGGAATCACATTAATATTTATTCATTATTCCTACGTGACACACTTTCCATTGTCGCATCAAACTTACATAGAATTGTTCTTTCCTTTCTTTCTTTCCTTTATAAATCTAAGAATGAAGGAAAACTAAGTTTTGTTCATGCAATATAAAAAAGAAATTATATTTATATTCTATTTGTCAAAATGAAGATATGTTATTATAATGATTTCTTTGAAAAGAGGAGTATGAAAAACGAAGAAATTATGCAAGTATAAAGCATTTAGAAAAGCATAGTTTATATATTTTTTTCTTATTTTTACTTATATATATATATGTAGAATATAGTGGTAAAATTTTAAAGAAAAAAACTAGGACACCTTGTATATACATAAACACACTACTATATATATATATAGATATACACATGATGCGTGTACAAACAGAACGATTGTTTTCTTACTTAACAAACCTTTTCGAAATAACTAACTCGTGGAGGAGCGCCCTTCAAGTCAAGGTGAACAAGTCTAGAAAATAATTAATATCTTGTCACAACGTGATATTTTAAATCTTGAAAGAAATAAATGAGTAATTTCTATATCACGAGATTGGCTGTTTACCTGTGCGAGCTAAACGTCAAGGCGTCCATCTTTTTTCATCACTACAACGTTAATTAATATAGCTTTGAAAAACTATCTATATATGCAATTAAAAATCATATAATTTACAATGTATAATGTATACACTTATGTAGTTTTTTTTATATAACTTTTATTCTACAATGTTGTCTTTTTTTCATCGACAATAATTAACTCGATACCCGTTACAATATGATAGTCCGCGCCATTTAAATTTAAATGTAAGTTAAGTACAAAGAGTATTATTAATCATATCATTAAATACCAAAGGACAATACAAAATGATTAAGCCACATAAATGAACACAAATATATATATATATATATATATATATATACTATGATTGAAATAAAAAAATAAAATTCTGACAGATATATATACATACATATGTATATATAATTTACATTATGAAAACATATTATAAGATTTTTAAAACATAAGAGCATTGAAGAGAAAGGAAGAAACATATTACATAATATAATAAATATATGATATATTTTAAAATAGTAAAAAAATATGTTTTCGATGAAATATAATTTTTATTTCTGTATCATACCATTAATTCAGCCTTATATGAAGTGTTACAACTGCGGTGTACGGTGTTAATTCTCAAAACATGAAGCATCGGTCATATTCCTAATGTTACACGTGTAGATATATTGTGCAGTTGTGGCAATGCTTATGGTTAATCAGTAATGTCAACTGACTCTAGCTTTTGTAACTATAATTTTCTTTGTATTTTATTATTAATATCATCATGCGAGATATTTAATCTCATTTATTTTATCTACATGCGCTTTGGAATAAAATTAAATGTATGTAGTAACACTTCGGTTTACAATTGTTGACAGAGAATCATACGTTATAATTAATTACATATCATTTTCTGCACTTAAAGCTTTTTAAATTGATCGTTACATATTTACATATATCGCGTTTATAATTAATAATACATGTTATCCTCGATTTCAATTTTCTCGTTCACATAGTATAGAAAATTGTATTTAATAGACAATGTACTAATATTTCACATAATATCCCTGTCAATGAACACAATACGGAAACCCGTTTCGAGTAAAGTATAATAACATAAATTGCTAGTTTTAAATGTTAAAAATACAAATGAGAGAGAGAGAGAGAGAGAGAGAGAGAAATAAAAGTGCAACTAACGTTTGGCACTTCGGTTAGGATCTTTTCTTTCTTTTAAAAAAAATATAAAAAGAAAAAGAAAACAAAGAAACAAAAAAAAAAAAAGAATCCTCTTTTTCCTTTTTTAAAACTACTATTCGTTAATTAAAATAGTACTTTCTTTTTACATTTTGTTTTCATTAGAAAAAATATTCCTACATGATGAATGACAAAAAAACGCATCTTATAATTTGATTAGATCACGACGTTAAAAAAAATATTTATAATAGGTACAACGGGCAACCACAAAAAATTTGATAAACAATTATTTTTATTATATACAGTCGAGCGAAAAAGATTCGCTTTTTAATTATTCTCCTCGCAATACGTTATTTCGTTTGTACAAAATTGTTTCATCCCAAGGACCGCTGATCCGAACGTACCTCGAATAAAAAATCTTTGATCTTACAATTGGAAAATGTATTTAATTGAATGGCTAAAAAGATTGTTTGAAAGCAATTAAAATAAATTGAATTCTTAACATGATAGTACACTAACGAAGTACGTTGTCATCTATCCTTGGCATTTCATGTATAGACGTGTCAGTTCAGAAATATAACAACAGTCAGCGACATACAAAAATTGTGATCTGTCATTTAAAAAAATTGAGCTAATCTTAAAACTATCCTTACATTATTATTTAGGACACAAACGAGGGAAGTGATCGCCAGAGGCACTCTCAGCTTAGTTCACCAAACGTAAATTATATACTGACACTAAATAAATTGTATAAACACGCTTGCTTCGTATATGACATCAAAAAATATCTATACTAATAAATCAATGTCCTGTAGTTTAATAGTTTCATTGCAATGATCGTTTTTTCATTTCATTTTTCAATTTTTCTATTAATTTCTCGTGCTAACATATAGATCAACAATTACGTTATTAAAATGATTTCCAATTTTTAAACGTCATCATATCTTATACATAATTAAATTAAATATGTATAGAATTTTGTATACACCTTGATTCTTAATATCAATCAATATTTAAACTTCATTGTATTAATGCGTGTCTGTTAATACAATAAAAAAAATTCAACATACGCTTAAGAACTTAAGTCTATCGCCCATCATTAATTGTGATAAATAAATTAATTATACAATTAAACATTTACACCCTACTATTTCGTCCATATTCCAAAATTTGTTTATGATAAAAAAGCAAATACCTGAAAAACAAAAGAGATATTTCTATAATTTTCCTTGATCATAATACGTATAATGTGGATAATTTTCATTATGATTATTAATTAACTCACCCTTCGCTAGTTAAAACATCTTTTAATTTAGCTCTTGTTATTAAATGGTCATCGCATTTGAACCATTGATCCCTTTGTTGTCTAATGAATGCTGTATAATGTCCTGTCTCAAGAGAACCTTCATGATTAATTACAGCAAACAGTGAGTATCGGTTATCACTGAACGTCATATCTTCTCCATTTTTTGGCAAGCCAGCGATCATAGAGCTGTTATTATTACCATTACGCCTGTGCGACATAAAAGGAGTCATGTCTAATTGTTCCGGAAATGAAATAAACGTAGAGATCTTTTTATCTTGAATGCTGGAGTGCTCAAATCGTTTCAGATGAAAACTAGCTACGATCGGTAATTGCTTCATTGTCAATTGTTTCGTACTTTCTTGATAAGTTTCACAATTGCTGCATTTTATTTTTGCACTAGAGCCTAAATGTTCTGCTCGCGTAAATCTTTCTAAACAATCTAATAACGAGGTAGGAGGTCCAGAATTATCCGATCCTGATGCACCAGCCGCGGGACCTAAATCCAAAGATATGTCCCAAAAAGGATCTATTGTAGTCGAAACTCCACTACAAAATAGTAATAAATAGTTATAATATACGTTAAATGCATGTTAATGAGTTTTAAAAACAATAAAATGAAAAAATATCTTACTTGCAAGCCTGACAAACAACATCACTCTGAAGTCCACCAGTAAATATTTGATCGATGATGCAATTGCAGTGATGGGGGTTATCTTTCACCAAAATTGGTGCAGCCTCGCAATGTCTATGTAAGACATCTAAAGTAGCAATAAAAAATTCGTGCGCATCTTGCTGTTCGTACCCTGCTAGATGCCTCGCATGTGTCCAAATTAAGTGAAGCAGTTTATGAAGCGTTACAGGTGTTTTACTACCGGAATAAAATTCTTGAAAAAGGTGGGACACTTCACAGACTAGGCAGCGAGAGGGTTGTGGGCAGTGATGACGGTCAGCCAGGAAGTAGTCTCGTAATAATGGAGTGTGTATTAATGCTTGCACAATACAGTTCATGAAACATGTGCTGCCAAGATTTATAAGTCCTCTTAGACCTAAAATGTTAAAGATATTTTTTATTAATACTTTATATAATATGATTTTTATTTTTATATCTTTAATAAGTAAAGTTCTGAATTAATACCTATAGTAGAATTTTCTACAACACGCCTTCGCCGTGGATGTTTTCGCAGTAACTCTGCTTCTATTTGAGTAGGTTCCCAAGTACGATAAAATTCTCCAAAGCTCAATGATTTTGCTAATTGGCTCCATTGCCCTTTAGCAACAGATAACAATTCTCTATCATAAACGTAATCTCCACATTGGAAGCACAAAATATTACCATAACTTAAATCCACAGCTGAAACATACATACAAATTTGTGATTAGTTATATTACAATGGAATCATCTCTTTCCTTCTCTTTCCTTCTCTCTCTCTCTCTCTCTCTCTCTCTCTCTCTCTCTCTCTCTCTCCCCTCCCTCCCTTACCCTCAAATTACTAATCTATAAAAATATATATGTATAAATTACCTAAAAAATGTTTCTTCGTTTTTGCGTGCTCTTGTATGTGACCTTTCACATAGCAACCAAAAAATATACAATGGAGACAAGAATGGAGACGATCTTTGTATGTATTACACGTATGACATAAGCAGCTTACAGCCTGAAAAATAAATTTAATTAATACATATATTGAAATTACATTAAATATGTAAATACAAAAACTAAAATTATTATAAATAATATTAAAATAATGTAAAAAATATAAAAAAACTTGTTGCCCTTGACAAAAAAAAATAATAATATAATATTCTTACATAAGCATTTCTAATCGTTTTTTTTTCAATCATGACAAATCTTTGTTATCTTCTCGTTGAAGATAAAAATAACAAATAACATTCTCTATATTTATTTTTCGCGCGATTTTAAAATGTATTCTACCACCAACGTGTATGTGGTCAACACAATGTCTAAAAAGTAAATATGAATCATTAATATGCAGCACTGTTGCATATCAATGAAACGTAATAAAATTATTTGAATGCTTTATATTTCGTAAAATTCTATAACCTACAATTCTAAAATATTTACGATAGTTGATAATGAAACAAATCCATGTTCATTCCTAAAAATTATGAATGAACATAACCTAATGAAAACATGAAGTGGTTATGTACTACATACTACGTGATACATTAAACGAAAACAACAAAAAACATATGTTCACGTTAGGTTATTGGTCTCTCTATTATCTGCATGATCCATGACTCAGAGAAAACAAAAGGCAGGGACAAGATTAAAGATAAATAGAAGATAAATGTAGTGTGGAAAAGTAAGATATAAAGATAAATAGAGAGAACAAGAGATAAGAATACGAAAACAGGATGACGTATAAATGAAATAAAAATTAAGCTTTTCTTTTCTTAAATTTGTTCGTAATAAAATGTTAGATTTCCAAAAGTACGGTATAAAAATTCACACAAAATAAAGAAATTAGATGGTAGGAAAAAGGCGGTAAGGAAAACTATCTACCTCATAATAACTAGGAGAAGGAAAAGATAAAGATAAAGCGACAGAGCGCGTGTGTATGCGTAGATGCATGTATATGGGAACATAACACCCACACACAAATATACACACACCTTATATATATATATATAAACATATGCATAAAAAGAGGAGAGGGGGTAGAGAAAGATAGATCAAATTGGGAGGACTCGCGCGTGATAAGAATAAAGGTAAAGGTGTAATGTAATAAAGTTTTTAAATTGAATGGTTTTACTAGTTGAAGAAAAAAAATCTTTTCGCACCTTCCTTATGCGTGCCTCGGTAGATAAGCTGGTCACGAAATAGGAGTGTATCACTTTGTATGGCTGGATGCCCTTCGCTGCTTTAAAATTATTCAAGTGTATGCAGCCATGGTCACTCATCTCAAGCCTGCAGCTTGAGCGAGGTTGGTGTGCCTCTTCGACTTCGACGTCGTCGTCCTTCTTGTCCCCCCTGTCTTCTTCTTGTTCCCCCTGTCTCTTCTTGTCGAATAATTCCCTCAGTTGTTTTACGACGGGGCTGTCTTTGACAGGAATCCTTGGATCGTAAGGCAATTTATCTTTGGTGTTATCCCTTCTCCTCTTTCTTTTCTTTACGAGAGAATCTGATAATGTCGATCGGGAGGAAATTAATGTAGAAGCCTCCCACCGGCGCGACGCGCACGACGGCGAGCCGACGACGACGGCGGCAGCGGCGGAGGCGACCGAGCCGCCGACGTGGAGTGCTTGTTCGGCAACGCCGACGGAGGCCACGATGGAGGAGACTCCTGTGCGCGGGGAGTAGCACGCTGGCTTTGGCAGAAGCGCGCGTGTCGTTGACATGGAAAAGCGCGTGTGTTTTGAAAAATAAAAAATCTCGAGAAAGGATTTTATCCTAATTTAACAATAATAATTATTTCGTCTTGTCCTCGTCTCGTCTCGTCTCGTCAATCCTCGTGTCGTGTCGTGTCGTCTCTTCTTTTATCACTATTGTACAGCGCTTATGTCTCCCTCTAGGGCACGAAGAGAAATTCGAAGAGATTCGAAGATAAATAACGCGCGCATGATAAAGAGATTAAAAATAGGGAAGAGAATGAGAGAGAACCAAAGAAAATAACAAAAAAGCAGATAATAGCAACACTTTACGATACAACGTTTTAATATTATTATCAAACTAAAAACGGTAAATACTGAGCTTTCTAAATAAACGAAATCGTCGCTCTCTGCATCTCTACTCCGCGTTCTCTTCCAACTGTGCACGCACATTAGCCGGTCAGAACAGGCGGTGCCGGCACGAAAGCAGCCTTCTTTTATCCCCACCACTCATTTTATACTACTAAACGTCACTGTCAAGGGCGCGCTCGTGAAGCTCCCTATAGTCTATTACCATTGATAGTTTCGTTAGTTTTCTATGTATTAGGAATTTCATTGGTTGCTTCAATTTAACCAATCGCGTTCTAGCTTACAAAAAGTAATAATGTTGATTTTTTTTTTAAATTAATTTTTTCTTTTTAATGAAATTATTTCACGGAATATCATTAATTTATTTTGATTATTTATACGCTTTTTGCAATTATTTTTATTTAAGAATCTCAAATAATTAACTAAGTTACCTACATAAAAATTGACAAAACTATTATAATGGAAACTTTAAAAATTAACATTAAAATTTGTTGTTTATTTGTGGATAATTTAAATTGAATCAAAATGATGGTCGGGCTTGCGCATTTCGTCTCACGAATTAATGCATTTGAAAATGTTGTAAGTGGCGCGCCCTATGTAAGTAAGTTCGTATTTCTGGTTTATACGCGGTATATGCGTCCTTACATATTTAGTCACAATTTTGTAAACATATTTAAGTTTATTTAAATCATAGGAAAATTAGATTATTTTAAATATTATACAATGGAAGAAGTTACTAAGTGTAGTTATTATAATTGCCGTGATCTTCGAGAAAAAGAACAAATATTTCATGAATTACCAGTAAGCGACATTGATTTATGCATTAAATGGCTGATAAACAGTGGTCATGAATATCTAATCAAAAGCGATTTTTCAACCTTAAGACCAATGAAATTTTTTGTATGTAGTAATCATTTTAAAAGTGAATCTTATTTAGCCAAAGGAACGTTAAAAGAAAATGCTATACCCCAGCCTTATTGGCATAATATTAAAAAAGTTAATGATTTATCTTATGTGAGTCTTTTTTTGATATTTTTATTAATATAAATGAAATATATTATAAAATTGTTTTGAAATGTTCTTATGTTTAAGGTTAAACATCAATCTAAATTTGATCAAGTTACAGCAAAAACAAATAAGCACCGAGCACATGTTTATCGGTTTAAAGAACAAAATGGAAATACAGCAAACAATAATATTCTTGAAGAGAAATGGTGTAGAACGTGTGCTACGAAAAGAAGTAATGTAGTTAATATGACATTAAAGAAAAGAAACACTGAAATGAGTCTTCTCTCAAAACTAAAATTATTGATAGAGATTGATGATGAAGATACATTACCATTAAATATGTGCTATGATTGTGTGAAGAAATTAGAACAATCATTTCAATTTTTTCAACAAATTTATATAGCTGATAATACATTGCGTCACATTTTTCCTAAAGAACAATTGGATAATGATTGTTATGGCATAACGATAGATAGAGTAGATGGTTCTGTTAGCGATATAGAATTTGATCCAATATTACAATCTAATGAAGATGATCAATTATCGATAAAATCTAAATTATTAGATACCAAAGGCAACGAAAGATCTTTATCTAAGAAGGTTTCAACGGAAGATACATCAACCAGCGTTAAATGTGGTACTGTATTTTCATTACTTACGGATTCCTGTCAAACTGATGACGAACTTTGCTGGATAGATGTTTTAAATGCGATAGAACGTCAGAAGGTTGCATCTTTTCACAAAAAATTATTTGCAAGTAAAATTAAAATATCTTGCGAATTCTGTATTAGTAAGTTTACATTAAGACGTCAATTGAAAACGCATTTGCTTAATAATCATCCTAAAGAAGTTAGAACTATGTGTATGGATTGTTTAATCTACTTTGAAGATGAATTGTTTCTCTTAAATCATCGTGCTACTGTACATCATGATGATCAGTTGCATCGATGCGATTATTGTCAGAAATGTTTCACCAGAAAAAGAGGTTTGAGACTTCATATTACTAGATCACATGCTAGAAAAAGATCTTATTCGTGTGATTTGTGTCTACGAAAATTTATATCAAAACAAAATTTAAGTCAGCATATTGAAACGGGTCATTCGGGTGTTAATATAAAAAAGGAAAAACAACATAATGAAAAAACTCAAAATGCATGTGTGATTAATTTTGATGTCAATACTAATCAATCTAATGATTTAAAGACTTCTTCTATAAAAGAACAGAAAATAGTAGATACATCTATTAATAAAGATTTTAATCATATAGAATTATCTTCTATCTCTTGTCCTAATAATGAATCACAATCCATACATTTAGAAAATACTGTTCAATCTGTCGTTGAAGAACTTATGGAAAGTTAATGCTTTACGTACTTCATGTGCTTGTGTATATTTATGAGAATGTGTGTGGATCTTCATGAAAAGAGTAAATAGATGTCAATTAAAGAGATATTTGAAAATTGGCAATAAATATAAAGTATGATAAATTAAGATTACAAAAAAAATTAATATCAAACAAAAATGAAATCGTTATAATTATTTAAAATAAATATTCCAGCATTATAGCATTCTATTATAAATAAATATATTATATATCTTCCGTTTTTTAATAATACAAATGTTCATAAATAAAATTTCGATGGATGGATGAACTTTCCAAATATTTCAATTTTTAATAAGAATGTTTGTTCTTCTGTCTTTATATTTATATATCATTTCTTTATATTAAACAAGAGAAAAAGGATTTTTCTAAAAATGTATGGAAATAAAAAAATTGTGAAGTTAGCTGTGCTTAATAAAAACGAAATTTGTAATATTTGTTTCAAGGGTACTGTACATTTATAGACATTTACTTCAATATAGGTTTCATTATTTTTGATTAAAAATATGTTTAATTTAATTTTCATATTACGTTCTATTAGACAAAGAAAGATTTAACATTGTAAATAATGCAAGTTTGTCAAACATAAAGTCTTTTTTTTCTCCCAAAATCATGTATGTCAAAATTTAAAAATGTAGCCTATGCTAGTCAGTAGTATATTCTTCATTTCAAATAAAATAATTTCAAGGATTTTCTAAATTCTCAAGATGTTCTATTAATATATTTTACGTTAAATGTACGACATAAACATTGTTTAGGATTGCTTGCGTGTAATATAATAAAAATATATATGTTAAAGTTAAAAATATTGGTAAAAAACGATAAATAAAAAAGGTTACTGTGCTGTACATCTTCCGATTAACTCTTATTATTTACAAAAAAGTTATCATCATTCTAAGTACCATTAAGCATGTAATAAAATTACTTGGGGGGTCGAGAGGGAAAAGGTAATAGGGAGATTGTTTTTTTTTTATTTAAAATATCACGAATAGAATCTGTCATTACGATCTTGTCGCGATTTTGAACAGTGCGCTCGTCGTTCGGTAAATTCGGCCAATCTAATTGACGATATTGCAGAGCTTGCTGGAGTCTACAGAAATGAAAAGAAGAACATTTTGAACATATTATGAAAATTACTGTTTTTTATTAATAAATCATTTATTACCTTGAACCAAGGTGATGTTAAAGTAGCTTCAGCGGTAGCTCTTTCTTCGCCATGTAAACATAATAATCTTCCAAGAAGATCTTTCGCGTCGTTAGATATAGATTCAAAATATTCATTGGGGAAACAAAAATCGCACTTCAATATATTCGCAGTTGTTTCTTCTACAGAATCATCTAGAAATGGCGATACACCGCTAAAATATAAAATGTAACAAATAAATCTCTACGTTGATGATAACAATCACAATTGATAAGCATTATAATCGAAAAAAGAATATCAATTAATATATCACCTTAAAAGTACATAAATGAAAACACCAGCAGCCCACATATCCGTACAAGTTCCTGTAGGTTTACCAAGTACCAATTCTGGTGCTGCGAATTCTAAATCGGCAGGTGGTACGACTTCGTCGACTGGACCTCTTACTGCTTCACCAAGATCTATTAATTTAACTATACCGCTATCCTGATCTACCAATACGTTTTCAGGTTTTAAATCTAAATGCGCTGTGTTACGTCTATGTAACCATTGAAGAGCTGACAACAATTGACTTGTATATTTGATAGCCATTCCTTCCGTATAATCCGATTTTTTACTAAGGTAAACAAATAGCGTTGGACCTCGAACTCTAAATAATATAAAGAAGTCAAATGTAACGTATGTGCGTGTAGAAAAATTTCAGGAATTATATTCTATGAATAAAACTTACAATTCTAGCACGATCGTATCGAATCCTGGACGTGGAGCATTTTCAAATAGGGCGAAGGCTCTAATGATGTTACCATGATGACTAGACGCTAACAAATCATACTCTGCTCGAGTTAAGGATCGTGGTTGTTTGTGTCTTGGAGTTTGCTTAAGTGCCACTTCTTGACCTGTTCCTTTATCACGAGCACGTCTAACAGTTGCAAATCTACCCTTCCCTAACTCATCTAGTTCTAAATATCTCCCAATAAACTGCTCAGTTTCCCAATTTAAGTTATCTTCAAAACCAGTCAACGTTACTTCCGCAGAAGACGAAGTAACGTTTCCATTTTTCCCAACAATACGAAAACTATATGACGCACCAGGCGGTAATTCTAAAGTCATTGGTGGATGTTTTACATCCGTTGCCATTAAAACCCAAGTTTGAGAAGGTGCTGTTCTACCTTCTATACTGTATGAATCAACGCTGGAACATTCCCAATCTATTTCGATCTTTGTCGGACCAACGACTCGCGCCCATGTACTTCCACTTCCACCTTAAAAAAAAAAAATCGAATTAACAATTATTCGAAAATCATCGTTTACTGTTATTATTTAATATGAGACGAATTCTTGGTTCCCATACCTGTGATGAAAAGGGAAATCTCTGTCCAACAAGAACCAGTGTCATGTTCAACATAACATCGGTATAATCCCGAATCTGATTGACGACACCTTACAATTTCTAAATAGAGAAAAGCAGCGGCTTGTTCAAATCGATAACGATCGTTTTCTCGAATTATTTGATTATCTTTCTCGTCTTCTTTTTTCCACGTAACAGTTGCCGAATCGACGTTAATAATTTCCACTGAAAGTCTAACATCTTCGCCAGCAGTTGCCTTTATCATACTTGTACTTGCAAGGATAGTAGGTGGTCCCTTTTTTTCTGGAGATCTATCTTGTGGTTGTACGATATCTTTATTGGAATCTACTTTACTTGGACGGAAAGACCATGCTCTACTTATAGACAAATTTGGAACAAGGCTAGCTGGTATCCATAGTTCTTCTTTCTCATTATGATGTGAAACTACTAGTCCAGGGCCGTCCAAACGAGAAACGACGAGTTCGTCACCGGCACGTAGTTTACCCCAGTCGGCTGCCAATCTTACTCGTGCACCCGGAACGACCTAAACAATAAGATTACTCAATCACGATCTTTCTATTTATTTATATTCTTTTATAAATTGTACATTATTATAAATTGAAGTAAAATTGATCATGCAAACAAATCACCAATACATTAGCGCATTCAATGTTCCATCATGCTCACCAAAAGTTATAGAAGTATGAAAGTAGCTATCTGGTTGATGTAGTAGTAGCAGATATAGTACAGTAGTAGTTAGTAGCAATAGAATAATAATAGCAGTAGTAACAATAGTTTCAGCGACCAATGATGATGAAGAGAATGATGATTGCAGTTGTAGCAGTAACAGTAGTAGAGAGAAATAGAAATAGAATAGTAGTGTAGTAAATATGATGATGGTATTAGTAATAGCAGTAGTAGTCGCAGTAGTCCTAGTAGTAGTAATAGTAGTAGTAGTAGTAGTAGTAGTAACAGCAGTAGCAAAAATAATAGTAAATCTGATAGTTTTGTATAGCAATACAGCAGCAATATATAATTATCATCTTATTGTTAATAATTTGAACATTTACGGCGATAATATAAATAACAACGGTCCTAGGATACTGCAATACTATAAAAACTATCGTTTTATATTCTCTATTTTGACTTTAAGTAGGCTAGCGTGTTAGTTGTTGGAAAATATTATTTTCTTTTGATTCTCTCGACCTGACGGTGTTATGTTCTTAACCGATCAAAAGTACTAACGTGCGTGCACACTGCACTTAGCAAACGACAACAAGACAACAACTAATAGTGACCCGATCGTACGCTTTTTCTGATAATGCCTCGCTCGGTTTATTTCTCTAACAATAAAAGATCGAGGATTTGTGGATTCGACGACAGAAGGTAATGCAGTACATAGCAGTTAGCGACAGACATCAAGAAGGAGAAGAGCCCCTTTGCTGCAATCAAGAATACTAATTATAGAATGCGAATTATCTAACTAGCACATTATCGATATGAAAATCGGTTAATCGTTATGAAATATTTCTCACCGGTATCGAATTGGTACGAACTGGGGATCGAGCGCGTAGAGTATTCCTGAATCCATCGAGGAAGTTAAGCCTACTCTTCGTCGGACTCGGCGTCCGTGGTAATTCGCAATCTAAACCACCGTATTGAGTCCTTTGAATCGGTCGAGTTATCTTCTGCTGAGGAGGGAAACTCTTTTCTTTGTGCATCGTTCCGGGGGATACTGTCGAAAGCGTCGGGGCTACTGATATGGTCTCTCGAATCACTGGCTCCGTTGTTGGAACTCGGCTACTATTTGTCAGCAAATTATAAATCAAAACAAAACACAGTACTACGCGTCAAGGTTCGTTTTAATTATAATTATCTATATATATATATATATATATATATACTTTTTTCTTTTTCAATATTCACTAACAAGTCAATTAATACAATTAGATCACGATTGGATCGCCATTGGATTTTTAGATCGATCAGGAGATAAGTTTGTTAAAAACATCAATTACGAGTTGAACGAGTCTTGACGTGAATTTGATGCGATATTACAACAGGAGATGAAGAATTAAAAAATTATAATTAATTCGTAATCAATAATATAAAAGAAATAATATCAAATAAAACAAAATTTCTAATTGACCTTATTTAACATTAATAAAACAAACAAGTCTCTTTCTGTGTATGTGTGTGTGCGTGAATATATTTGTGAAATTAAACAACTAACATCAACATTCTTTTTAAGGAAATAAAGAGCGTTTAACGTTTTCCTTTTCAAATAATACAAATCTCGAAGACCATCGTTGAGAGATGTGATATTACATTTTTTCGTGGATAATTAACAAAGAGGAAAACAAATAAAAGGAGAAAAGTCGTGAAACATAAAATGAGGAGAAAAATAAACGACAGTAATAATAAAGAATAAAGAATTTGGAAATAGTTAATCGCAGTACTGTGTTCACTTAAAAATAATAATAAAAGAAGCCATTAGTCGCATGCACGGGTACATTAGGTAGGCGTGAGAAAGAAGGACGCATTATAATCACAGTCTTCGTATTTTACAGTTTATTCTAAACAATATTATTTACGTTTCGCGAGTTGATTATAGCCCTGATTTTTTGATGCTTTTTCGAGAATTAATACGTACTATGTACAGTGTACTCGTCACCAGATACCTCACATAAATGGCATTTATAAACGTTATTAAAATTATTATAAATATATTGTACATTCTCGATAATTATATCATTAAATAGCGTGGTACACACCCGAGGCGTGAAAATTGTACATCGTATGTGTGCCGTATGCGATGTACGCATTTTCCTATACGTAAGTATACAATACTTACATACGTAAACGCACGCACGCGCGCGGGTATTTTCACGCATGCACATCCCCAGACACCACCCACACACGCGCATACGCACGCACTATGTATATGCACATTGGAACGGATTAACGCTCGTTTACAGGCCTTGGAAGCGAAAGGTGGCTGTGGAAGAGTAATACAACGATCCATAGAGCTTTAGAGAAGAATAGAAGGAGAGGGGGGCAAAAGACCAAAATGTGATCCATTTGGAAATGGAAAAGTACTTTGACATTCGGCCTCAACCGATTTCTAATTTATCTAGTAGTCTAACTTGTTTGTTTTTTTTCTTTTTTTTGCTTGTAATTTTTTACTTCATTCAAAGTATAAGTTCTTTTCTTTTACGGTATTATTTCTCTTAAAAATACTTCTCCTTTTTCGATCTCGACATGTTCGATTTTGTTCATATTTTTCATATTTTTTTATATATATATATATATTTTTTCATTTTTATTTTTTTCACTTATTCCCTGCTTTTTTTTTGTGTTTCTCTCTTTCTTTCTTTTTTTCTTTCTTTTTGTCCTTTTTCTATTGCCTGCTTTTTCTTTTGGATAAAGTTTAATTTATAGAACAACGTTATTACGTTAATACAAAGTCGAATTTTTACTTGAAATAATTCGTCGACAGCGTATATTCCTTACATAGATCGTTTTTCGGTCGAAGGTAGTAGTATGTATGTATGTAATAAGTAAAGTAAAGGATTATCTTTGTTTCTTTTTTTCTTTCTTTTGTATGGTTATTCGTGCTGCTAAGGGATGATGAAGACAGAACATTTTGGAAAATACAAGTATTAAAAGGGGTAAACCAAGTATATCTCTATTTCGAGTTATGATGGAATAAATAATGTGACAATACATATCGTTATAAGAAGAAGAAGAAGAAGAGAAGAAGAAGAAGAAGAAGAAGAATAACGATGATATTAACGATGACGATTCCGATGAGTGACGATGATATGTGTTAACAGGAACAACAACGATAACAACAACAACAACAACAAGAATGGCAACAACGAAGAAAAGATCCTTGAATAATCGAAGGAACGTCGATCATGTGCTAAGGGTAGTGACTAAAGAATCCAAGGAAAAAGGACGAAGGTGGTGATTTAGGTGACGACTACGGTTATCTAGCTTACAGCGCTTGTATCTCTTTTTTTTTATATAAAATATACAAAAATATGTCGGAACGAATATTCACAGGTCGAGTGTTAAAGAGAGTCAGTGTAATTCAGTGGTAAATAGAGACGCTTACAGTGGATCTTTGGTAAGTTCCTTTTGGTAGGCAATCGGTGACTGTAACGCCTTGAGAAAATCACGTTGTGTTTGTAGGATAGCAGTGATCGTATCTACCCATTCCTGTCTGCGAGGTCCAGTTTCTTCAACTACGCTGCAATAAAATCCTAGACCGGGCTTTCGAGGATCCGTAGATCGAATCACAAATTTGTCCGGATCGTCGTACGAATCCTCGAGACTCATTTTGTTTACCTGTACGAAAACATACCGGCTAATGCATACATTTTTCTTCTTTTTTTTTTTTTTCAATGATCTTTATACACACATTGTTAACGATGAAATTTTTTGATCGAGTTAATTTACTTTTCAAATAAATGTATTGACATTTTTTTTCTTTTTTTAATTTTGTTGCATTTTCTCATTGCTAAAACCGATTTCGGTAAAATTGATAATAACAGCAATTCTTAGCATCTTTCGATAGGTTGCATATATACTTTGCTATGAAAAATATAAGCAAAAATTACCTGTATATGAGATTTATATATGTAGGCTGGGCTGGTGAATTGAGTCTTCTTACCAACTGCTTCACTGAAGATAATATTTTGCTCGAAAAGAAATACGTGCCATTCTTTTCCTCTCGTTGGTACGCTCGATAATTCTGACACTAACAAAGGCCCGTGTAGCAGAAGTTTACCCTGTGCTGTTATTTTACCCTTCAAACGAACAAAAAGGAATGAATGGACGCGTCAAATTACTAGACCTACCATTCGAAATGAAGTTTCTTTTTAACTTACATCAAAACCTTGTAACCTTCCCACATCCATCATGTCATTAGCCGCTTTTGGAATAACTCGCATAACATGAACCGCTGCTCTAAGTCCTTCGATCTCCGATAATCTTTGAGTACGTTCAGTCAAACGTAATGCCTCGCGAAGAAGTAATTGATACTTTGTAATCCTTTGCACCGGTTTTATCAACAAATCGCAAAGTTGTAGACGATGTTTAAGTTTTTGCCTCAGTTCCTAAAATATTTCGAATTGTAGTGATGTATCTCATGACCAGAAAAAATAATAAAATATAAAAAGAAGACACACAAAGTGTATTGACGAAGTTAATACACTTACAATGTGATAAAAAGGTACTATAAGTAATTATAATTACCTCGAAGTAAGTGTATATATATTCGGAAACGATGTACTCAGAAACGGGTTTATTTTGACAATAAACAACGTACATGTGTAATTTCCTTTCATATCTTTTAAAAAGAGGACCGAGTTCTTCCGGGCATTTTATGCAGTTTTCCAAAGCTTTCAGGAAAAAGCTGAAGACATAAAAATAATTCTGTTAATATATTGGCTGATGAGTCGTAATATTTTCACTTGCTGATATATGCAAGAAAAAGAGAAAGGAGAATGAGTCGTAATGTTAAATACAATTAAATATACTCACTCTCTGTGCCATTCATAGATCGCTTCTATGTTACCAAATACCATTTTGTCTTTTCCTCCTCGAAGATCTTCAGGAAGTGGAATGTCGCTGTCTGGATCTCGCATCAGCGTCATGTATCCTTCGACAATTTGTTTAAGATCGTTGACATAATCTCTTTCCGTTTCAACCAATTCGCGAATGACAAATTGTCTTTTGGTTAGAGCCGCAGTTTCGGGATCGCATTCTTCAGTAACGAGCGATGGACTGGTGGCACGAGCATAATTATTTTCACCATCACTTGAACCTCTATCACCTGCTGTTGTTCTTTCCGTACGCATCAGACTATGCCTTTCTTGATTTTCGGTATGTTGTTCCTATGTTTGTAAAAATACGTTTGATTGAGAAATAATTAGACAAGATGATGACAACTTACCATCCTTTCCTTTACGATCTGTTCGATTTCTGCTAAATCCGCCGTGGTGGCTCCGTCAAGTATTTTGCTAGAACATTCAGATGCCTGAAAAGATAAGAAAGATAAAAATATGTAATGTAAAGAAATGTAAAGAAACGTATCTTTAAACTAACGGAAGTAAGTATATACTCACTCTTTTTCCAGGTAATTCGTCGGGTATCGTTGAACCAGGAGGACCATTACCTGCAGCGACTAAAATCGGCTCGGTAATCGGTTTCATCGGTGGCGGTAACTCCAAGTCATCTTCACCATCCTCAGTGCCGTTTTGTTCGTGAAAGACGTTACCTTCACCGTCGTCGTAAGTTGCAGATATCGTTTCAGAAGTTTCACCGTGTTCCTCTTCTTCCTCTTCCTCCTCTTCTTCTCTTTCAGTTTCTTCAGATCCCGCTAAAGTTTCAAGTTCGGAACCGATCCTGATGTTTCCAGCAGAAACAGCAACGGCACGTTTTTGTTCAGCAGCTCCTGATGGTAGCTTGAAACGTTTGTCAGAGCTGCTCTTTTTCAACGATCCAATGTTTTTGCCGCTTGGCGTCACCGTTGCAACCACCGTTGTCGTTTGTTTAACCAGAGTCGTCGTAGGTGCTGTTGGTGTAACTGTTCCTGGTGTAGTAGCGGAAATAGAAGAAATAGCAGTCGTCGTCGCTGTCGTCGTGGTCGCTGTCGTCACCGTTGTTAAAGACGCTGCCGTTAGCGGAATGCCACTGGTGTTAACGGTGGCGGCAGCAGCCGTTGACGCAGTCGACGACGGCGTTGAAACGACCTTATCGACCTTGCCTTGACTGAGCTTACGCAGCGGAGGTGGTAACCACTTTCTCCTGTGACACACCAACGAACTCTTCGTATTACCCAGCACGTTAACGAAATTTCGCGACTAGAACCGAGAGTTTTAACGAATGATATCGTTACTTTCTTTAACAATTACACAACCAAAGGTATCATTCGAGAACACGACGAATTATAGGAAGAGAAACGCGACGTACTGGCAGCGAACGCGTTTCTCCTACCACATCATCTTCATTTTATTGCTATTAATAAACGCGGGCACAGTTGTGCTTGTCGTGTCGCCAGTGAAAACAATAAGAGCGGGGATAGGCGTTAAAGAGAATCGCCACTATGCTCAACGCGCCGTTTGACTCGGCACTCACTATGCACATTGATCAATTGCTAATAACTAAGCGTGCGCTTTTCATTTGTAATTAGGTTAAGTACTTTCGACTCGTTATGATTTTATATTACCGTATCAGACTTACAACCTATAATTACAATGACTACTCTTATTTATGGATATATTGCAGTAAACAAATATTGGACTAGAACATATTTGCTAACATTTTATAAGATTGTGCTTTGTCTATTATTTATGTACAAAATAAATTTGCACGTTAATGCGTGCCAAAGTTACACAAATTAAATTTCCTACCTTACGATTAAAAGTCCATTTCATTATTTTAACGAAAGAAATTTACATTATTACACACACTAGTCTCAATATTTCTGCAAAATATAACAATTCATTGCTATAGTAAATGTATTTTTAAAGAGTAGTAACTTATGTGAACACGCAAAGAATTATAGCCATTTAACAGAAGACCGTATATAAAAGATGTAGATGAAATTAATCACTTGACACATTTGCACGCGATTATATCTTCTTACGAGTGCAATACTTCAAGGGAATTTCGTAATAAATTAGAAACGTCGTACTTGAACGCGTTATAAAGCTACTCACCCGCTAAAACCGCGTCTTTTGTTTCCAGGTGAACTGGTACTAGCGGAGCCACTACCATCGCTCCCGATGATTTCTGAAAGCAATACAAAGAGAGAGATGGTTTTAGTCATTTACGATAACGATAGCGATAACAGTAATGAATCAGAAATCCACATTGGACGTTATGACGAACTTCAACTATAATAAACGTAATATCTTATTTAACCATAAAGTACTTCTATTTGTTTTTTTAGAAAAAAAAAAGAAAAAAAAAAAGAAAAAAAAATCAAAATTATCAATGATGATCCTTTAGTTTGATTATTATCATTACGTAAGTTCTTAGTAAAACGAATAGAAATAGCATTAATTTCGGAGTTCACATCATCGATGTACCATCGCTAGGCTTATAAACGATTATTATCTGTAGTACCCAAACGAAGGTAATAAAATGGATGAGTCGAAAGTGGTAAGTGTAGTCGGCTCTTATAACGAGATATACTCCTATGATATCGGGTTGACGTTGCTCTCTTATTTTTAGATGCGGCACAGGCTTGAGAGAAAGCTTGCGTGACTCTTCCGTTCTATCTGCCTCCAAGTTCTCAAGGAAAAAGTTAGTCGTCGTGTCTTGGAAGCATCCTCCTCATCGTACTTTGCCCTCACTTATTTTTCTTCGATCCATCGCGTCTATAGTCTTTCTCTTTGTTTCTCTCTTCTACTAAAGTTTGACATAGAGAGAAAAAGTAAGAGTACGCGTACGTTGTTCTTGTTAGATCATGAATTGCCATAGGTCGGGTCGAATGATCGACGACCAGTTTGACCGTGACGCTGGCCCCAGGCTGCCAAGTGGTCAAGGACATTCGTGTTCCGTGCGTCGTCGTATTGATCGAGCGCTCGGGTCTCCTAGTATACGTACAAGTACGGATAGTCATCTGGCTCTTTCAAATGTTATCGAGCGTAACCACCTATCCCCTTTCTCGTTATTTCTTTTAGTTGTTCAAAAATCCATAGTTATTCAATAGTGTTGTTAGAAATGTAATTATCGAAAAACAATTTCTCTAAAAAGAAAAAAAACTTACCCGATTCTTCACTCGACGGTGTTAAATTCGAAACTGAAGATGATGATGATGCAGTAGAACTAGCTACCATAGCCGCAAGCTGTTGCTGTCCGATCACAGATTGATTGAGTTGTTGTTGCTGCTGCTGAAGTAATGTTTGTTGTTGATTGGGTGGTTTTCTTGATGGTGAGGTCTTACAGGAATTGCTTGGTGGTTGTTTCAAAGCGCTCGTAGGTACAAGCCCTTCTGTTGGTGGATCTGTTTGCCCTGGGGCGAGTGGTAAACGTACCAACGTCCATTCACCGGTAGCAATGATGCCACTGGCGTTTCCATTACCGCTACCATTTTCTAAGACTTCAACTTGCTGACCCTTCGTCACCGTCAATTCTCTAGATCCCGGTGCTGCTAGATGATCCGCAACGACCCAAGTCATTTCGGTTACGCCAGTCTAAGAATGAAAATTGCAAAAAATAGCAACTTCTCTTTTTCATTTTTTTCCTCATATTTTTTTCTATTCGCGATTAACTCTCCACGGGAAAAGGGAAAGAGCAGAGTGCTTTAACGTGGGAATGTAAGCAAACAAACGCATCAGGATACCAGATTTTATGAGCGAATAGTGAGAGAGAGGGAAGAAGAGTGTGAGAGAGTACACGCCATACGCGGATATAAACTTGGAACCGACATCATCGAGAAATCGTCTTTGAATTTACGGACCGGTGGAGCGTCTAATGTAGTACGTTCGCTAAAATAGGTCCGATCGGTCCGTGTAATCGTTTGGATGGTGTTTACAAGAAGAGTGCTTCCTTTTTAGAGTACGAGGAGTCAATTACTCGAAACAGGAAAACTTCTTAGAGTAGACGCCAATCATGGGTATGAGTCCATGAAAAAGTTACTTGCAATTAGGAAGGTAAATGAAGAATGTACAAACGGTTAGTTTTAATTAACAAGCTGAAATTACTATATATATATATATATTTTCACGAAGAGGAACGCGTTTTTATCTGCATTGCCCTCATCCCGACTCTTTCTCTCTCTTTCCCTCTCTCGTATTCGCGCATTCCATGACGAAAATAGAATATTCCACGCGCCAAAATCCGTATTAGTTCGATCCCATACGGATGTGTGGTACGAGGAGCCCAAAGGAGAAAAGACCGAGTATAGGTAAACATTCATACGATTGATAAAAATTTTTAAATTTAAAGGGACGAAATATAGGTAAAGTCATCATGCTCCCTAAAAATTTGTTCATTTCCGAGTTCCACAAATAAATGTCATAATTCGTACCGTTAACGTATTATTCTCATCGTAAAAGAGAGAGAGTTTTCTTTATCGTTCTTTTTGCGGTCGACGAGCGATTATAAGTTGCTGCGGTTATTAGATCTAACCTAAGTCTATATTAGGAAATGTGATTCGCGCGAGCGCAACGTGACACTCAAGGGCAACAGTTCGTAAGAATTGGTTGCAAAAAATTGCCCATTAATTGACATATAAAAAGCCGATAAAATATATAATCTAGAATCAATGATATTTTAACGAGATTTTGTCAAGTAAAAAATGTGCAAAGATGACGGTGAAAAGTAAAGACTCCACAATTAACGGATTTGTGCTTGTTTAGGAAAAAAAAAAGGCAAATTATAGGGTATTAGATGGCTAGCGATAAATTCGGGATGGTCCAATAGTGAAAACATCGATTACAGTTGGATGCGCTTAAATCGTGCGCTCACGCGCACGATCGAGATGCCACAGAGACGGGGATGGTGAGTGAAAGGGCAAAGGACAAAAAGACGAAAAAAAAAAAAAAGAAATTTAAGAAGTAGAAGAAGAAGAAAAATGAAAATTGAAAAAGAAGGAAAGAAGAATAAAAGGGGGAAAAATGTGAAAAATAGAAAAATAGAAAAAGAGAAATAGTAGAAATAGAGAAATAAAAAGAAAAGAAGAGAAGAGAAAGAATATACCTGAGATAGAGAGGGTTGGCGGCGCAAAAGTCGAGCTTGAAAAGAGCCCGGGGTATCGATGGTGTGCTGCCTGGCGAGGGTCGCGTGAGGTGGTGTGACCGAGCTCTGTCTGAACCACGGTAAAGAGATTTTTCGGCGTGCCTTTTGGGCGATCGTTGCCGGTTTTCCGGCCGGTGACGTCATAACGATATTTCCTTACGACTTACTGGAGTTCATACGTGTCGTTTTGTACACGAAATTTGATAAAGGCTTTTTAATGAGAAAAATAGAACGACGTAGGAGGAGGGATAGATCGGCGAACAGCCGACAGCCATTTTTCGAGTGGATTTTTTGTTGGTGTGCTCTTTTATTTCTACCTTGATTTTTGACACACGAAATACGTTCTTCTTCTACCGTTCGGGAGAAAATTCATGTGATATGAAGAGAAAAGAGAAGAGACAAGACGAGACGAGAAAAGACGTGACGTGACGTGACGTGACGTGACAAGAGACGTGAAACAAGAGAAAAAACAGATAGAACAGTATATGTAAGGTAGGACAGGACGTAAGGGAACGGGACGCGACACTCCAAACAAATCCGTCCGGGCCGACAGTCGCGCCCGTACTAATCGCACCCTTTCTAGAATTGAGTACCAACGCCGTGAGCGCCTCTTCGAATGCCACACAGTAGGTGGAATGGGCTTATCGAGAGGAAGAAGGGAGGGATGCTCGATAACGCCTTTCATCGATGTTTTCTCCTCGAGGAAATTCTCAGTGCGCAGTCACCATCTAACCGGGGCAGCTGATTTTAATGTCTCGTCCTCGACTGCAGGATATCGTACGATTAAGTAAATTAAATCCTACTGCATTGCGTACAAGAGGACCCTTAATAATCAATCTTAGAAAGGAAAATACTCGAAAATTATTTATTTTCATTTTCTCCTTCGATAATTTTACTATTATTCGATTTCGACCTTTATTCTATGAAATATATCTCTTTTTTACTATGTTATAATATTAAGAAACAACGCGGATATACCGTTTTGCGCTTATACAAGCAAGTTATCACAAACGATCGTTTTACGAGGCGATATTAACATCTGCTTATCGCAGATGTAAGGAAAAAAAGAACAAATATATGCTAAAATTATCTAATTCTGTTTTCTACGTAATAGAATAAGATAATTACCTTGTCCGAGTCCGTTGTATTCGTCGAACCAAATGAAGCCAATGAATTCCTGTCCAAATTTTCTACACTATCGTTCAAAGATGCACATTCCTCTAGGTCTCTACTCGATCGTTGGCTTGAACTCTTCTTGGCTGGACTCTTCGGCATACTCAAGCTGAAGTATGTTTCTTGTATTACTTCACGCAATCTCTTGACCCACAATTGCTTCGCCTCCATCGAATTTGCTCTTAAAACAACACGCGTGTCGCCGGTAGGTGCTCTTCCAGTCCATACTGCAAACTTACATTCATCTCCTTCAATGTGCTCAGTGACGCCCAATTCGGAAGTCATCAAGCGACTTTTGTAAATGTATTTTACCTGATTAATCATAAAAAAATACATAGCTAATATAAAAACTTATGTTACTAATTATCTGCAATAACTTTTTCAAATATACAAACCTTTCCAGCTGAATCTTTTACTTCTTTACTAAATAATAAGTATAATTCGAAAAGAAATATATGACGATCTCTGCCCTTTCTTATCAGCTGCTTTGGATCCCATACCGTAAATGAATCTTGTAATACTACATCTCCAAGAGTATCTATCCTGACATCACAACCCTCTAATAGGCTTAAATGTAAGGCATCGTTTGCTTTTTTAGGCACATTCAACATCACTTCCAATCCATCTTTTATTTCACCTTGTCCCTCCTGACAGCAAGCCTGTGTTCATAAATATTAATATTATAAAACATTTTTCCGTTTAAGCGAGAAAATTAATTAAAATCATTTCTAATTATATTTTTTACGTACTTGAAGATCCTTAAGCAAAAGCTGATACTTTGTGATCCTTTGCACTGGTTTAATGAGGTATGCGGCTATTGGATGTTCAACTTTTTGTTTCCTTTGTAATTCTTCAAACCACGTACCACCATGCGCAACTAGTAGTTGATTACTTTCAGGCTTATTTTTACAGTAAGTCACGTACATATCAAATTTCGGAGCCTATAATAATAAACATTATTTTATAGATAATTACCAAAATGATCTATTAAGTTATTTCTTAACACATTAAGCGTCAGTCCCTGTTACTTACCCAAGTGACGAAACAGTGCCCAACATCTTCGGGCATAGTTTCGTATTTTTCCAATTCACGAAGGAATATATTACAATGAAATTGATGTATTTCTTCCATATTGCTAAAAATGATGGATTCTCGACCTTGCAATCCTGTTGGTACATTTCCTTTTCCGTTACGCGTTTCTTCTAAGAAACAACGAATACAAGTTTCCAAATCTTTAACGTATGTACGTTCGGTTTGCAATAATTCAGCCATAATGAATCTGAATGATAATAAAAAACATATATTAACATTAATGAACACAAGTACCTTTTAATGAAAATTTTGTAAACATTAAGAAGCATACTCTTTTCGCCTAGCTGATCTCCGTTTCTCTTCATTCAATTCTTTTAAGTCTTTTCCTTTAATTTTCTCCTCCAATAAAGGATCGGAATTTCGGTCTATAGCTAAGTCTTTATGGCCATCGTCTGATTGTATACCCAAATCATCTTCAATTTGTGTCTTGTAGTAATTCATTCGTAAGCTAAAGTCTTTATAACGCTCATCCACCTCCGCCACCGATTGTTTAATAACAGCAGCATGAGCATGTCCTTTTTCAACTAAATTGTCTGCTAGCTGAATCAGCAATTTTACTCTTTCCCTGGTTTCCTGAACATAAACAATAATTATGTCAAAGTAAATATACATTTGCATGTTATATTATTCCTACTATTTTTTACAATGAAACGATGTAAAAACTATCAAGTGTTATACACGTTCACTTTTTATTTCATTTCTTTAAATATTTTACCTTAGCTGCACCTTTAAATTCGTTATGCTCTTGTAACAATTGCTCGTTTTCGATACGATTTTTTCCCACGTTTGTATGTGTTGCAAGATATAATTCACCAGTTTCCCTTATCCATTCAATTGCTTGTTTTGCACTACGCTCAAAAAGTACATATTGATGACACTGGTCTAAGCGTTTTTTTCGTTGAGTCCAATATTCGAGTACTTTATTTTCTTTACTTAACAATTCTTCTAAGATATCTATAAACATAAAGATAGAACAAACAAAATATGTTAGAAAAAAAAAAAAGTTGAGATTACAATTAGAACTTATTTTAATTTAAGTTTAAAAGTTAACTAACTTTTAACTTTGTTCTCGGACCCAACGCTATTAGCTTGATAATTATAAAATTGTAGACTGCGATTAGTGTATTTTAGGAATGTCTCGGCCGTTCTTCGCACCAAGGTGCATGCTTTTAAAAACGCTTCTTTTTGTTCTTGATGTTTAGACACAAGATTAGGTACTTGGCCGCCTTTCTCTCCACCAGAACACCAGTCTTCGTCCCTTTTATATTCACGTTCTAAACTATCCAGTACCGATCGAACTTGTTCCGCTGTTTTATAAAAATTAATACTCGCGGTTACTAATTTATGCCTTTCTTCTGCACAAGTTACCAACTGTTGCCACCTTTTTGTGACATCTTCAGCTACTTCTCGAATACTTTTCGGATCATAATGATTCGCACTTACTAATGCATCAGCTCTATGTTTCACCTACAAAAACACAATAAATGACATAATAAAAATTTACAAATAATATATTAACGAGTTAAGGATTAATGTAAAATGATAAAGCACAAATTGTAATTACCTGTACAGCAGAAGTATGCGTTTTTTCTATAGCTACTTGAAACTGCTCATGTTCTAACCGTAGTTGTTCAGCATCTTGTAAATTTTCTGGAACCCTTAAAGAAGCTAATAGCATAGCTTCTCCATTTCTAATCCAATTAGCTACATGCGTGGCATCTGTTTGCAACTGTACCAATTGTGCGGCTTGTTCTAATCGAACCCTCCGCATTTCTGCAAGATCTTCTGCATCCATTTCTCTTTCATTTAAAAATTCAAGAAGCACTTGAACTCTTGCTGTAGCACTATGCTGACCATCTGCCATGATACAAACTCCGGCTTGTTCTAGAACCTAAGATTATAATAATAGAAAAATAGTATTTGATAAGAAAAGATCTTTTATATAAAGTGTACACATAATATATTAATAGAATTTGTTTTACCTGTGCAAGTTCTTGGCCCTGTTGTAACACTTGAAACGTAGTATTTTGCATATGAGCTACACCATCATTGTGTACACGTAACAGCTGTTCGGGTGAACCTTCGTGAGGAGTACCTTGTAAGTCTTGTGCCCACATTTCCAGTTGTCCACTGGCTTCTAAGGCATCTCTCTCGAAAACACGCAATCGCAAACACAACTCTAACCTTAATTTTCTTGTTGCCCATAATTCTTCCAATTCTTGCCGTAAACCAGCCAATCTATCAAGAGCACTTTCTACAGCAGTTACCTAAAATATTTCCATAAGATGAAATGAAATACGTAGTGTAACTTGACATATTCTGATATTTACAAAATAAATAAATAAATTAATACATACAGAGCCCGTAGAATCGGGTGCATCTGTAGATTCTCGTAGTTCTTGAAGCAATGCTTCACCTTGTGCAATGGTCGAGGCACAAGCTTCAAGACACGACGCTCTGTGTTGTGCACACTGATCAAGTAGTCTTTCTGCTGTTTCCAAATTCTCTGCAACTTCCTCTTGCTGCAATTCTTGCCGCAACTCGTCCACCCAACCACTTAGCTACAATAAGTGCAGAAAATAATTACATTAATTATTTGATAAATACCATTCAAAATAAATAAACAAACACAGCATTAATATGTACCTCTTTTTCATGAGTATAAAATACTACAGCCAGATCTAATCTGCGACGCCGTTGTTCGACTCTCGCTGCAAATCTACTAACATGAGATTCCAATTCTTGTGCTACAGCGTATATTTCATCGGCAGCACATTCTCCTGTATGAGCTAATTCCTCTGCTGCAGTAAGCAACTTCGTTGCATTCGTATAAGTATTCTGAAAAAAAAAAAAATAAAAATAAAAATAAAAAAAAAACACGTGAATATAAATAATTACACGATACAAGCTTTATTATAAATTAATAAAGATTTGATCAGTATGAAATAGTATATTACCTGTGCTACATTCTCAAAATGTTCATGACTTTTTTGATATACTCTTGCTTTTTGAAGATTTCGTCCAACGCCTGTATTTTTTCGGATAAAAACTTCTCCGTGATTAGTTAGCCAATCGAGAACCTGTTTTACATCTTCTTGAAATAATCTGTAAATAAAAAAGAAAAATGAATAGAACCATTTCAACACTGCATAAGAAAATAAATTTTCCTTTGGCAAGGAAGAAAGAAATGAAATTTATAAATACCTCAAAGCAAGACGTTGATGTAATTTAACTTTGCGTGCATGCCAACGAGCTTCCAATGTTCTATGATGACCTAAAATTTGATGAATAACTGCTAACACATGGGATGCACCTTCACTGTAATCTGCAGCTGGATTTCCACTCATGCCACCATGACTTTCTGCATTATGTCCATCTTGGCTCTATGCATAAAAATTGCATGCAAATTTCGTATATAAAGCTTCTAATTAATTTTTAAATTGAATAATATATTAATATGTATGCCATGAAATAACTACACTTCTTCTGCTATAACATAAGCAAATACTTGCGATTACAAAATAATTTGAAAAAAAATAAAGGTATAAGATTAATGTATAAAGATAAGAAATATTGATCTTTTATATAATTGCATAAAAATTAATTATAGGAACAAATAAAATAACGAGTAATATATAAATAAATATTAATACATATTTAGTTAATTCCTAAATTATGGTTCAAACTTTAAAGTTGACAGTTAAAGTATTTGCTTACATTACAGCAGACATGCTTACAATCGTAATGAAGTTATATAGTATCTTTATCAATTGCATGCACAAGCAATTAAAAAAAAACTAATTGTAAAAAACGAAGAAGAGTCTGTATGAGTTATGCACGAATAAGTGGACGAAAATGTACAAGTTTTTAATGGAATAAAGAGATTAAGATTAAGCAAAATATATATTTTCCCAAACACTAAGTGACATACATGTTTGCGGATGGTGTGGTCTATTCCCTGTGGTTGGTTACAGACTTGCACAAGATGATCCAGTTGATAAAGAAGCTTCTTACTGGTACTATGCACCTAAACAATAGTATTTTACGAATTCATTCCAAAATTAGGCGCCTTTCACCGATTAAACGAAATTCAATTTTGTTTCATGATAAAAGCTTCCATCCTAACAAGTCCAAAGGTAACAAGTGTTTAGTCCAACCTATGTTAATTATTGCATAATTAATGTTGCTTTTAACCGCACCCAAATACCAAGCAAGGATATTCACCGACTAGAAGTAATGAAAAAAAAAAAATTTGTTTCGTACATAATTAGTGTAAAATGTATCCAAACGATGGACTGTACTTCTGCTATGACATACTTGCAGCATAGAACCCAGTCCACTCAAAAGAGCCTGATATGCATTGTAAACCTGTCGAATATTACATTTGTATACAAAATTTGTATCTCATTGATTTGATTCTTTACTCATTATTTTATAATGAGATAAGAATAAATAAGATACTATTTTTTTTATTTTCAATAATGTTGCAAATATACTATTGGTTAAACACTCTTTGAAATGCTATTTAATTTTCCTGCTTTTTTATTTCCATGTTATATAAAGTTATATCTCCTAATAGGACTCTAATAATTGTATTCATTAAGAAAAGGAAGGAAACTTTCTCTATTAAAGAAAAAATAACATTGAAAAAACATCATTAGATATTATAAACTACATATTTTACCTCTGTATATGCTTGACACATTGCTTCGTAAAGAGTTTGATGCTGTCTTAAATGAGATTCAAGAACAGGAATTTCATTAGGCAGATTGCTGGCATCGCAAGCTTGACTCCAACCAGCAACACTATCTACGTATTGTTCTGCTTTGTGATGGAACACTACACTTAGACCAAGAACAGCAGTACGTTCATCGAGACCAGCCGCAAATTCCTTCCACGCTCTGTCCAATCGACTTGCAACAGCTCGTACATGACCAGCTGCATAATGTTGTGTTTCTAATAATCTAGCAGCCATTGTAAGAGTTTTATTAATATTCACATAAACATTCATTGAACTCATGGTAAAATGTTTATGTTCCTCTTGAAAGTTCTTAGCAAGTTGATAAGAACGTCCAATCTCCACGTAATTAGCAAGAAATCCTTCTCTATTATGACAAATCCAGTCAAACATTTTTTCACAATCTTGTTCAAACAAACGCAACTGAAAGCATTGATCTAATTTCTTTTTTTTAATGTGCCATAATTGCAAGAGATGCCGTTGAGATGCATGAACAGAATCTAAATGTTGTATAACTAATGACGCTAATGCTTGACCATCTGAATCTGTTCCACCTACTGCACCACTTTCAATACTTCCTCCTTCTCCACCTGACGTCGACATACCTAAAGAAAGCAAATATTCTTTAATTAATATAATCATTGAGTGTAGCATGTATATTAGAATGTAAAATGTATATTACTGTCGAATTTTTGAAGCAAACGTTGAGCAACAACTTCTAGTTCTTCAACAGGAATTTTCAAAATTTTCTTTTTCATTTCATTATGAAGGTCAATACCATGTTTAGCACCTCCAACGTCATCAGCAAAATCATTACGACTAAAATCTTCTTGTAAATCATCCAACCTATCTAAAAGATCAGCAGCTTGCCAAGTAAAGTCTTCTACAGCTAGTCTTGTTTCGATCCACTGACCATGATCATACTCTAACGAGCCATCCAAATCAGATGTCAGTTGAGAGGGATCTATAACTTTTGTGAGAGCTTCTAAACTAATTGTATTGATCTGAAATTATTAGAAAACATTAATCCGAACAATTTCTTATATCTTATATTAGATATAAATAGCACATGTGTATAAAATAAATGATTGTAGAAATTTACACAAAATTGGATATTTACTTTGTACATATCTTCAAACATTTTGTTTGTGCACTTAAAATATTTATAACGATGCATGCAATATTACTTTCTCTACATGAATGCATGGAATGCTCAAATTAATAATAGATATATTATCAAAGACAAAATTCCAAAAATTTCATGAAAATTATGAAAATTTCTATTTTTCTCTCTTACTTACCTCGAAATTATATTTTTTCTGTTTAGCTAATGATGTCCTTTGCTTTTGCCAAAAATTTTCTGGCTTAATGATGAGTGCGACATAGACCGATCGATGAAAGTATTCGTGTAATACCTTAAATGATAATAAAAAGAAATCAATTAGTTTGTTAAATATTTTTACATTTAACCCATTTGCATCATGACTAGAATTAGTCTTCCTTGCTCAAACATCCGAGACATAAAACTTACGACTGACCGGTATCACCGTTCAATCAAGTGCTCACAGATAGAAAAACAAATGCTTCTTATGCGGATTATTCCGCGCTCGGTGATAGTGGACAGTCCCGGGTTCGCGGATTATTCCGCTCTTGGTGATAGTAGACAGTCGCGACTCGCGGAATATTCCGCGCAATGATGCAAATGGGTTAATATGCATATGTACATAGACACAAAAACGAATATTTAATTATACCAAATATATAAGCGTCTACATATACTATCTAAGAGATTTATTAATTTAAATAAAAATTTAAATGTCATAAAAAAACCTTTAAAATTGTTTTCACAGAATCCCAAGTAGCACCACGCATATCCACTATCACAGTAAATCTTAGATCTCTGGTTTCATCGTCAGGAACGGCTAAAAGGTATTGCAATAAACGACGATAGTCCTCTGGTTTAGCACGTTCTCTTCTCGGAGTTGTTGGGAAAACAATAACTGGACCTCCTCTACGGTCTCGTCCACCTGGTAGTATAGCCAAACGTTCTTGAAGTAGGGGTAGAACTTCAGCTGCCCTTGTGCCATCCATTGTGTTAAGTATATATATTTATATATAGTTTGCTTATGATCTATACAAAAATATATTCACATTAAATGTGTTGTAGAATAATTTGTAAGTTAAGATTATAAAATAATCATATAATAATGTATGATTTAATGACAACAAATAATAACAAATAACGTATATATATATAAGTTAGTGTATTGTATTAATACACTAATGTACTAACTATAAATGAAAATAATCATAAATCTTACATTAGAAATAGAAATTGAACTGTTTAAATAAAAAACTATCAATCACTTTTTAATCAAAATAAACATTCATGATAGACATAATTTAAAGAAATATTTGGAAAGATAAAATCGTAGAAAAGTTATATGTAAAAAAGGATTATACACGTGTCTTATATAGTGCTTTTAAAAAAGCAAATAAAACAATAAACAATGTCTAACGTAAGGATGAATAAACCTACAGTTAAAGAATAAGGAACTGTCAATGTGATATAAATTAATTACATTTAAATTTACTTATAAGATAATAGTCTTAGTTTGTCAAACGAATTCTACAAGGCAGCGGCCATATCGCGTTAGACTTGCTACGTATTGTACAATTTTATGTGTATATGACTCGCGCGCGCGCGCGCGCGCGAGCGTTCCTATGTGTGTATGATGTGTGATATATGTATATGCATATGATGTGCTGCTGCTGCTGTTTCTTTCTCTTTCTCTCTTTTAATGACCGTTGCAGCGATTTGCGATGGTACGTACCGTTGTTCATGAAGCGCGTCATTGGTCATCACGCAGGTTAGATGTCAAAATGAAATAAAACTTTACTTAATAAACGTACCTATCTAATTTTCAGTCAGAGATTCGCAGGATTAAACTTTCTTTCCTTCTTCGGTGAAGTACCTGCATTCCATCGAAGAAAGATCTTATGGCTTCTGCACATATTTATGGCGAATCATCAGCTCTCATACGAAATCATGCTTTAATGACTGCATCGATAATGCACTAACGTTAAACCGTGCCATCTTTAATTTATTTCATCAAGTTCAATTTTGAAATCCTACTTTTTATTTCATACGAAATAATATCCACGCGATTTCCAAATTACACTAAGTTCTCTCGTCTGTATTGACGCCTCGCAGGCGGCAGCACGATCTTTTAATTTTTATACAATACAAAATCCATGAATAACGAAGATTAATTTAGGTAACCAACTGTGATATAACACATACGCACCCCTATTCTTCCACTGTATTTCGGTCACGGCTTAACCCAGTAATGACACTCGCGTAAGACGTCTTTAATGTCACGATATTGAAAATTTGTGACCTTGAAAAGGTCCACCATATTCCTTGCAATATACATATTATACCATATATTTATTGTCCGCATGCGCGTACGTTTACACCACTACTTTATTGTTTACTTTCATATATACAATTGTTAAAATATAATATAAATGAAAAAGCAATAATGAGTATAGCGGCAATAAAAAAGTTTCTTTTATGTTATCCCTTAATAATAAAAAAAATAGTAAGATAAACATGAATTGGTACTTTTCTTTCTGCATCCTAACCAATAACGAACCCCGTCATTCCTTATTCGACCAATTGTAACATCGCAAGGATATGCAGCTAGTCGAGTGCAACACTTGCATTGCATGAATTTCGACCAATGGCACGATAAGCATTTCGATTATCGACCGGTAGATTATTAAACAGTTTTCCTTTTTTATCCATTTAAATATCAAATTTTGTAAAAAGTGTCTATTAAACAATTTTATTAGCTAAGCTCTTTTATAGCATTAAAAATCTATAGCCAAAGTCATACGTTAAGCGTTTTCATTTTATTTTATTTCACATAATTTTACGTAATGATCAAAATTCATGATATTATCAAAACATACAGAAGTTCATAGACGTTCACAAGTCCCGTTTTTATTGAACTAGATTTATCCGAGTTACAACCGGGACCACCAGTGGGCGATACTAGATACTAAATGCGAAAAAAGTACAATATTATCAAAGAAAGGTACAATACTATCAAAGAACGGTACAATATTTATGAAATTTATCAAAGTATGCAATTATTTGCTTGCTAAATTACATACTAGGTATGTAATGTTAGTAAAAATATTCATTAAAAATATTTAAAGTTGTCTAAATAAAACAGTAATTGTATAGGCAGACTCAATAAGGAGTAACATGAAAAATAAATCAGTTTTTTACCATTCTATGCAATGAAAAACTTTTTAAACTATTAAAATCAAAACAATAACGTTAGAAATAAAATTATTAAATAATTTAATACTCCTCATTTTCGTTGATGTTGTCTCGTTGAATGTGTGTGATAGAAGGCGAATACGAGGTACGTTACTACGTAATCTTGGTACAGGAGACCTTGGGAGTTTCGAACGCTTGGCTAATATACCTATGTTATCGACTGTTTACGTTTTGTAGTCGACTCGAGAAATATCTGGAAATATTAAACATAGACATTTATAATAGCCTATATGTAGAGTGTATTGTTTTTTTATTCTTCCTCTCCCTCACTCTCACTTCTTCTCACTCCTTCTCACTCACTCTCAATCTCTCTCACCCTTTCTGTAGTATTTCTATATGCCAAATGTACTTAAAAGAAAATATGCTCACCTCGACGTATATAGAGAAGATAAAAAAAGTTACCACAAGTTTAAAAGGTTAGATATATGAATTCGTGGTGTAACACTCCTCATGCTCAGAAAGCTTAAAAAAAGTAAAATATGGAAACACTTACGTATAAAAATTTTGCATGTAGCTATCATTTAATATATAACATTCGTTATATATAACATGATATGTAACAGGAAGGTGTACGTTAGATAATTAATTGAAACAATTACCTGAAATTAACGGGATAACAAAATTCGCTGCAACAAGTATAGGGACCGAGCCGCTAGACTGTCACGCCAACTGGTAACAGAAATGTGCAAAAAACGGGTAATCAAAGTAAAGCAACAACACGTTATTTTCAATTTAGTTAATGTTGTTTAAATAAATATTAAAAAATTAATCGAAATGTCTCGATCAGGAAAATCTTGTTGTATCAAAGGATGCACAGAAAAATCTCGTCATAAGTGGCAAGTCGATATGCCAGTGAAATTNTTTTGTATTCTTTTAAAGCTACACTTTCCATTTTCTTACCATACGCCATGGCTTGTGTCTCAGCTTTACTTGGTGTTAATAGGTTAGTGATTGCTTTTTCAATATCAAAACGATCCCCTTTTAACTTATGACCATTACTTGCTGTTATTCGGAAGATACGCTGTTTGTACYACTCGTCTATCTTAGACTGGAGAATAGTTTTAATGCAAATATTGATAATTTTTGTACTATCACAACTAACTTCTTTCAAATAAAATTCATAAACATCACTTGCTACTGAATTTTCTCGAGAATAAATCTTATTCACCAATTGCAGCTGAATCACTTCCTGGATAACGTTATTCACCTTTGTTTCTACATCACGCTTATCATTTACTTTTACTAAAGCAGCAAGTGATTCAGCTGCAATAATTTYMCTCTCATCTCTTTTATCTACGTTTATCATTGTACAAAGAGGACACCCGGACATATCCTCTGGAAAGACGAGTGATTCCAACTTTAGTGGTACCACTTTCGGATTCTTATCGGTGTAAGGAGGTGGAGTAAATAATTTACTTATTTTTACTYCTTTTTCATACTCCAAGAGCTGGCGACGAGATGGTTTTCCCCATTCTTGACCATGGTTTGTTTTTGAATCAGCAGAATCTGGTGAGTTTACGTAATAARCGACAGCACAAATATGTTTACATTTGCCAGCTAATCCGGCTTTGCACGTACAYACAGCATTACTTGTATTGCGCTGATCATCTAGCTAAAAACAAAAATTTTCTGATTAACATTATTTTTTATATTTTTTAATTATGTAATTAAGTGTAAAAAAAGTTAGATGTCAATACTTACTGTAATTTTAACATTATATGTTTTAGACACACTTGTCTGAGCAACAACATCAGCGGTTATGGTTACTAGACCATTTAATAATTTTTTCTCAATCACATCAAAAACATGCCCAGACTCATGTAATTTTTTACCTTTTGTATCGTTTTGACCTCGAATAAGAGTATTTTTTATTGGTTGAAAACCATATTTTATTATTTTTTCCATTATTAACAAAAAAATACATAATCTATTATCACACTTTTTACCCGTTTTTTGCTTTTATTAAACACCAGAGCGCGCCACTTCCGACAAGTGTGCTGCCTCTACAGTTAGGGCTCGGTCCCTATACAGATGACAGATTCAAAAATTCGAAAGATTCGTCACATTGAAGTGCATAAAAATGGCGCATAAAAAAGGCGCGTAAAAACGGCGCGAATATACTGCGCGATCATATTGCGCAGTACTTCTTTTTTCCACTTATAATGAAGAAAAATTTCGAATGATTAAATATACGATATAGGAGCATAAAAATTGTCGAAATATACTCAAACAAATCAAAATTAATCCTTATATTTTTTATATATTGTAATAGGAAAGTGTGAACCTTACCAAATACTTTTTAATTACCTGATCTTAACGGGACGATGACACTCCGATCTAATCTCCACGAACGACACCAAGAAAGTAAAGAAAACGGACGGTAGATTGGCTTTGATTGGCTAATTCATTTTTTGGAATTTTTTGAAAATGAAATGACCAATCACAGCTTCCGCTACGAACTGAATCTGCCTATCTTTATAACTCCGATATTCAAACTACATTTGATAATTTATTTATTAAATAAATTAAAAATCATTTCTATTTTTCTAATAAATGTACACACATAACTTATAAATATTCTAAAAATAATGAATAGAATAAAGACAATGTAGACAGTAAGAAAACTTTGTCATTTCACACAAAAGAATACTATCGTATAGAAAAGAATTGTGGATATAAAAATGCCCAATATGAAATGCAGCATATGAAAGAATAAATTCCCAAAATCTGTATCGATAAAGAATCCTTACAATTTAAATACTTTTAAAGATGCATAAGATGTTGCAATTATGCAAAAGATGCATAAAATATTTAATAACTTTAACTTTTAATTATGTCAATTCTCATAGATTATTAAATTATTTCTTTTTAGTTTAGTTACTTTACTTTAAATTATTACTTTTTAGTTTTAATGTGTGCCCTGCCTTTAGAAATGATTTACAGGAAATATTGTAATATATTTTTTTTTTATTTTTTTTATTTAAAATAATGATTCCCTTTCGGGATACATGAGGTGCGTCGACCCGTTTTAATATAATACCTCTTTACAAATATACATTTTTACAAATACACCTATACACAAGTGCACCTTTATTAACTTCTTCTTACTACCACATCCTCTTAACACCGCTCTCTCCTCCTACATAATTCCTTCATCCATTCCATTCCCTTTCTCTCCTCTCCCATCAACACTTCTATCCTCTCTTCCGTTTCCGAATAGTTACATTCCCTCATCACATGCATTCCTGTCTCTTTCTCTATCCCACACAATCTGCACATAA